ATGATTGGTTTAGAAGTATGTGCTGTTTTCCTCTTCTTTGAAAATTGCAGAGGCTTCTCTAATTAGCGAGAGTCCTGGTTGGTGATCCCAGTGCTTTTTGTGGAAGGGATCGTACGGGCTATGCCTTCCTTGTTCTTCCCTGCTCTAGTTATATATTAGCTGATTGCAATGACCTATAGCTTTATTCGATGCTATGAGTTGCCGGACGTTTTCTTTTCTTTATGATTTCATTTCCATAAGATTTTGATGGTGCAACTTCTATCGAGATTGGAACTTCATGATGTTCCTTATTCGCACAGCACTATTTCGAACTTCCATTTAACCTAATGTCCCCTGGCTTCAGAAAACTTACAGAGATTGCGGAGTATCATAGCAAGCGCTCACAGAGTATTAGTAGCCAAGAGATTGAAACTTGGAACTTGGGGGTTGTGGAAAAGAACTATGCTTGATGGGAGTAACAGAGACCTCTGAGATAGATAATGAAATCAAGAAACATTGCTATAATAATCTATTCCATGTACCTGCACAGATTAGGTCTTGCTGTCAATGGTATGAAACTGAATGTATTTTCGGTGTACAGCAGGTTGAGTCTTGTACTCTTTGCTTTGCACGTTCTTGATCCTTCACCAAAAGTCGAAGGGCAAGAAAGAATTGCTCAAACAAATAAAAGGGAGAAGAAACGATTGCTTCTCATTCATACTTTGCCTCTTCCAGCTTGGTTCTTGTCAAGGGTGGGATGCCCACATAAGTGTACATTCGCCAGTCCAAATAACATCTTTGCTGCTGCCTACAAAATGCTTGTGATTGCTGGCCGTATTCAAGAATGTGCTTTACAAAGCAACTGTTGTCTAACATAAGAAGAGCACGACCACTAAAGTCGGGGAACGAGTGTAACCACTAGTTGGCTGCCCAATGACTGCAAATCGGTCAATCAGTGATCGATCTAAACATATGTTCCCCTGCATTTCTCTTTGATACTTTCTTCTCTCTTTAGCTTCATCACAACAAACAAGGCAAAAGAGAGATGACTCTTTGGTAACTGTTGAGAGTTGAATCACATAGCAACGAAGCAATTTTCAGATTAATTGACCGTAGCAATTGAGATGAAAATTGCAGGGTACTGTACTTGAGTAATCATTTAACATAAGATGATTTATCTACAAAAGTCAAGCCTTATGCAGAACAATGCGTGTCTGAAAGGCTGATACAAACTGAACACTGTAATTCCAACAAGTATATTTCTGCAAAGGTGTTTCCTTCTATAAAACTCTGTATGAGATCAATCCATCAACTGTCTCAACAACCAGGTGCTTCATGCGAGCAAGCAGCAGCAGATAGGATCTTGCCTTGGGCCCTGCAATAAGCAGTAACAATGAATCATCTGAAGTGCTTAGGGAAAATACCGATATTAAGACTCAATGAGGAAAAAGACTAAGAGGATGGCTATCCACATTTTGGTATAATAAAGTTTTCAGAGGTCATCAAGTCACGGACAACAGGCTTGTTGAGGCAAGAACTTGTCAGTTTGCAGCAAATGCTTTCATGATCACTCAGAAATTCAAATCGCCATTGACGTTGTATACGCACCCAATGCCAATGATGATATTTCGTCTTGAAAGAAGCTCTTGTTTTCCGAACAATTCTCTTTCTTGCTTAGGTATGAGTTTATCTTCTCAATAGCTACAAGCAAATCCTGCAGATTAAAATGCACTATGCAAATGGGTTAGGACTAACACCAGATCTCTTGTCAGCAAATTATGGCGAGAAAGGAAACAGAACCTTGCAGTGGGAAGATGATTTTACACATCAAGAGTAACGTTTACTAGCTTGCCAATGTGCTAATGCTAGTGAAACCATCTAACCTACTTCATTTCCAAAATTCTCTGGGAGGCTGTACTAGTGGGATTAATCCAATCGAGCAAGCACACTGCTTCTGTTTCAAAAGAATATACAGTTCACGCACTACTAACCCAGATGGTCTTATGCCAGCAGCTTAATACAAATTAAAAGTTAGTGCCTGCAGTGCATCTGCTGAGAGTCCAAGACAAATGCAAAGCTAAAGTTAGAGCTTCATACCTCCCATGATGCAAGACTTTTCATGTAGGAAGGAAGACTTTCGTACTCATCTTTTGATGCCTTAACTACAGATTTTGGACCTTCAGCTGGATTCAAGCGTATCGAATCACGTAAGTATAAAGTCTGGGAGTAGGAAGAGTGAACTTAAAAGAATCTAATTGACAAATAACACATGCAAATATTTTGTATTAGTACCTTCACCTGCCCCCAAGTTCAATGTAGCAGGTTGATATGGCCCCTCCAGGTCATGCATCTTATCCTCTTGATTTCTAAGTGGGATGAGAAGGAAGATTAATAGCAGAGGAGGTTCATGCCTTAATGAAGAAAAAGCAAAAATGGAGAAGGAAAAAAGTAGACCGAGAAAGAAGGAAAAACTCAAGCGTGGACCATCATACTTTTGTATTTGTCTCGAACATAGATTTGGCTCAACAGTCTTATCATTAGCTGAAATTGATATAGAAGGGAAAGACGATTAGATAAAACTGCTTGAGTAATAAGGAATTCAACTGCCTTCTAGCAAATTATCTCTCTGATCATCTCAACAAGGACTAACTTGATGTTCCAAATGACAGTGAAGAGAAATCAAAGGAGCAAGCTTGTACCAAATGATATTCAAAAGGACTTAAAGCACGAAGCATGTCTAACACATCCTTGAAGTTCCCTCACCTTCTGAAGCTAATGTGGCCAGAGCTACATCAGATATACCAAGTCTTTTCAAGCTGATTGAGTCATCAAATCTAGAGAACTTCAGGAAGGACAAATAGACAAAAGCTAGCACTAGTATACCATAATTGACCATGTTTTCACTTTTTAGTCAATTAGGATGAAAATTTGCATATTGCGAAGCTGATATATTGCATCACTATTTACAACTTGGATATAATAAGGCAGCACCTATACCATCAAATGCAATGGCTCAGTGGCAGGAGTTGACAGTACGTAAAATCTGAGTCACAACAGAGGAAATGCTGTTCAAGATTATTTTGCTGACACCAGCATTAAACACAACCACTAGAGCTGACAGGAGATGGACTCATGGATTTCGAGTCAGCCCACTGAGGTTGCTCTTGCCCTACTCAGGGTAGGCTCATAAAAAGGGCCTGTACTCAAAGCAAGCAAACTGTCTAGTGATTGTTCCTAAGGGATAGAAGCTCTGGCCAGGTGTGGAGTCTCTAGCCAATTGATCTATCCCTCCTAGCCTCTTCAGCTTAGAATTCTACAATTTGCCAAATATTTCAGACTTTGATCAAAGAAAGTTGATATATCAAAACCCGACAAGGATACAGAGAATCTTCTTCAAAACACCTCGTCATAGAAACCGCGGCAGTAAGTCGCCCCGAACATGAAGATGGCAGGTCAAATCCACCATTTGCTAGTGGAAAATTAGGATCAAGTTCGAGAGGGCTCGACAAATCATCAACCATACCTTCTTCAACATCGTCAACATCTACAAAACAGAACCAGGAAATCAAGGTCTGCAGATAACTGACTTGCATGTTTTCATTCCTTTAAACTCCCTACTTAATTTCATAATTCTAATCACCATCGGCCCAGCAGTCTTGTCCTATCGATCCAGCATATTGATATACACTTCAACACCAGGTAAACTTCTCTTACACAATCATTATTAATCAAACACGCAGGCGGAAAAAAGGTGGAGCTGAAAGTACCGGGGACATAGCCGAAGCTCTTAAGGCGTTCTTCGAGCTGAGCGAGGTCGCTCTGGTTCTTCTTGAAGACCTCGTTGCAGTGACCCAACAGCTCCTCAAACGACACGGTCCCGAACGACATGGAGTCGAGCAATTCGAGATCCCCGCTCGCGGTGGACAAGCGCCGGTTCAGGCACTGAACGAAGGTGGAAGAAGCCGAATCTGCGATCCGAAACACCAAAAAATAAATCGATCGACAGAGAAGGAAAGGAAAACGCACGACCCGAAGTTAGAATTCATCGCTCGCACCGAGAGGGATGGGACGGCGATCGATGGATTGGTTGAGGGCGTCGACGCTGCTCTGGAGGTGGTTGCAGAAATGGCCGAGGCTTCTGCCGAGCGTCGCTATCGCCTCCTCCATGTTCGTTCCGTTCGAAGCTTTTTGCCGATTGCGAAACGCGAAAGCAAAGCTCGCTCCCTCGCTCCTGCGATTCTGAGGGAGAGCTTCCGTTGAAGACGACGGAGCGGGAAAGGAACGCCTGCTTTTCGAAATCCACGGTCTACGATGACGGGGATCAGAGGCTTACTCGACGGTGGGGATCTTGTCCACGTGGATCAAATCGCTATAGCAAGTTGGCCCCAAATTTCCATTATACATAACAACTCATTATGTAATTCTATATATGACCCTCTAATTATCTCACTTTTATTTTTCTAAAAAAATACACTCTAATATATATGTAATTCTCACTAAGTAACGAAAAAATATTCAGTAATATCAAAACACCACATCAGCCATGAACGTGGAGTGCATTTATCTAGTTGGGCCACTCAAGATTGCGAAACGCAAAAGCAAGCTCCCTCCCTTCTGCGAATTTGAGCTAGAATTGCATTGAAGATGATGGAGTGGGAAACAAACCCCTGCTTTCGAAATGCACGGACTACGATGAGGGGATAGGAGGTTTACTCAATGGTGGGGATCTTGTCCACGAGAGGTCAAAATCATAACCCGATGTAAAGTTGGTAATTTTTTTAGGAAATGGGGTCATTTCAAGCTAATTATTTCCCAAGAACCAGAACCTGTCTATCTTCAACAAACTAGAGCCTCGAGACTCGAATTGTCATTGTCAGAGCAATGACCCTAGTCACCAGTGTGCTCCACTCTCATCTTTAACCCGTGGATGCCTCAACTTAGAGTAGCGACGAGAAACACAATTCAAGCCGTAATTCTACTGCCCCTAAAATATTTCATCACCACACAGAAGTCTCTTTCACTTGGGTGGAACTAGCAGCATTGGTCGAATGCGTTCGATTAGGCCAAGAAAAGGGAAAGAAACAGAGAAAATTAATTACATGAAGCAACCGAGTTCATCAGCAGCCTAAGTTCACAAACCGCGACACCCTTAAAAGCCGCCGGATGTTTCTCTTGTCCTCGTGTCCACATGCTTCTAATTCGCAAGAAGTTGGCCTTGGCTCCAGTTTCTGGATCATGTATCTTTCCAAATAGCTTAAAAACTCAGCAAATCCTAGGAGGCACTTCGAGTCTTCGATGATAAGGATCGCAAACACAGTCGATAGCATGCATCAGTTTCCTCCGAGGCCCCACGGCAGCAGCACCCATATCTTTGAGCTTCTTCATCGTCATGTTAGCCAGCTGAAACTCATTGATGCGCCTACACCGGAAGATCCTCACAAATTGCCCCAGCCCCAGTGACATCAGCCAGCTGCTCAGTCCACCGGCCTTCTGAAGTTTCTTCTCAAGATTTCGTGCTTTGAGCTGTTGATGAAGGAACGTCACCCCGCTGGAGAAGTAACAAGGGCTATTTAACATTCTCTCCTGTTTGATACTTTTTGAGGAATTTGATGTTTTCAGCACTTCATGTAACTTCTGAACAGCAACGTTGGTAGGGTTCTTGGACTGTGTTCTGGAATCCATCCCTGAGATTCTAGGCTTGTCTGACGGATGTGGAGAACAAACTTTTTCCACAAATGTGTCATTCTCAAGTGTCAATGATGTCGCCTTCTCGTATTCACTGACGGACGGCATTGCAGGACTCCCCTCAGCTGGAAGTGGTGATTTGTCTGGCACATGTTCCCTGGGTATGTCCTGCACCTCGCTCGAGGATGGCTTTGATACTGCAGATTTTTCTGCAACAGGTAAAGGCGGCACCAAAATAGTGATCCTCTGCTTTTTCACAATCACCCAGCCCGTATCTTCGAAGGGATCCACCTCGCAGGTAGAATCATAGTCATTGCCAGGTGTCGTGGCTTGCTGTTTTTGCTTTTTCTTGACCATCTGCTGCTGCTTGTTCAGAATAAGCTTTGGCTCAAAAGAATCGACAACCTAACAAGCACAGCCAGAATTACAATGTTATAAATTAGCGTGATGATGTCCTCATACTTCTTGTACATATTTGAGAGCAAAAGATTATGCATAGTCTTTGTAAAATCAAAGCACACCCAGACCAAGCAACATCAACAGTCGCCTTGAAACCTGGGACAACTACGACAATATTGGGATGTGATACCAGAAGGCCAAGAAAATACCGATGGACTCTTTAAATAAACCGTAGCGACTAATAGGTAGAGGGGAGTTCATTTATGAAAAGTCAATCGTGGCCATGTTCAATTTGTTCCATGCTGTCACTTCTGTGATTCGTTAAGGCAAAGAGGCTCTATGAGGCTGTGCATCACTTGATTTAGACTATCTAATCTAGCATAGGAATAGTGGATATGAGGAGAAATTCAAGGTTGCCAAGAACCTGAAGGCATTAGCAATCGCATGATGCCAGAAGCATTCCCCCTCGTCAAGGCTTTAGATTATTATATGACCCCAAACTTGGCGTCCCCATCTAGTCTAACTATAAAGAGAGAGCCGAGTATCCATTAAGCCATCGAAAATCATCCCACAAAGTTCAAACATCACTGGAGGTTAATTGAACAAATGCACTTGACAGATCCTATGAAGTCGGTTTTTATGACCATCCCTATCAGAAAGCATCAATCTCTATCTTGGGTCTCCTCTGGGAGATCATGTTGGCCCGCCGCCCTCTGAACCGGACATGAGGGTCTCCCCTCATCGAGCCCTCACCCGGTTCTCTGCAGGGGAATCTCCACTCACTGCTTCCCCTAATATCCTCCCTTTTAGCACGCAAAATTTTCCACCTTGCACTATAATTGACCGGCTACAGCGATCAAAAGCAAACCAAGCACCATTAATCTCATGGAAGGTAGCGAAACAGGCCGAAATAAAACACTTCGCCGCAAAAAACAACGGAAAGAAAAGAGAGAATTACGCATCGAGGCCATCATAACTCCTCCATGCTAATTCAAAGCGCAAATACAGGACAGTCACAGCCCAAATCGTTACAAACATACCCAGCAGCCACAAATCACAATCGCTCTCTCTCTCTCTCTCTCTCTCTCTCTCTCTCTCTCTCTCTCTCTCTCTCTCTCTCTCTCTCTCTCTCTCTCTCTCTCTCTCTCTCTCTCTCTCTCTCTCTCTAACCATGCGTGATTTTGGACAAATCCTACCAACCAAGAAACTAGAGGCAAAGTCAAGTTGCCGAGGGCCAATTAGGGCGGCGATTTCGCGAATGCGAGAGGCGGGGTCATCGCTATCCATGGCATTCCTTCGACTATCCAACAGAAAAACTGCAGTAGCAGCGCGCCAAGAAAGAAACGGAACGAAACGACGAGCAAGATTAGCGGAAGCGAACCTGGGAGTCCCCGGAGGTGGGAACAGCTCGAGGACGGGGAGACTTGTCGGGGAAGAACGACGGCTCTGTGGATACGAGATTCGATTGATCCAGGAAGCGAAGCCGATCGAAGATCATGGCTCTCGGTTGGCCCGCGAGGCTTCGGATCTCCGAAATGAAATGCCCGACCCGAAATGTGGCCTGGCCCGATCCGTTTGGGCCCACAACCCTTTGTTTTTCTTTTGGGATAATGGCACAAGCGGTCCTGAACTTTGACCCAATGTGCAATGTTGTTATTTATAAATATATGCTAGAAAAAAAATGAAATAAATTGCTTATTTGGATTTTCTAAAAGTATTTAGGAAGAAAATGTATCGAATCGTGAAAATTTAAGGAAAAACTTCAATGTGATTTTTAAACGACTAAAAGTGAAAAAATATATATATAAACATTCTTTCAAATATTTGACTTCGAATTACCTAAGACTTCACGTGAATTCTTACAATCAATGCGGGATGTCACGAGGTAGATTGAATCTCTACCGTTAGATTGAAAGGAGATATACGATTGTGATTAGGAGAGTACTTGCATATATAGGGTTTCGTCCCCTCATTTGTATTATTTTACAAGCAATAGAAATTTGGTATTTCTCTCCTTAAGAGTTAACTTGAGATGTATGAAAGAGCCTTAACCTCCTAAACTTTGACTTCGGTACGACCCGATTTGAATATATGTTAGGATGCACGTGTGAGCTGTATCAAAGAAATCCAACATCGGATAATCGGTTTGGTGTAGAGCAGTTAATGTATCTTGATTAGCCTATAATTCATTAGATTAAGTTTTTGAGTAAAGATAAGTTCAACTTGATATATTAACACTCTCGGACTTATGTTCTCTCTTTGTGATCTCTTTAGGTGAAATGTATTAATCAGCCTTTTGTGGTCGGGTTTTGACAGTAAATCTTAGTTAGGTCCAGATCACTCTCCTCTAATAGGCATGGGGCCTTGTAGGTAGAGGGATTAGGGGTGGGAACAAGTGGCAGAGCAAAAGTAAGATAGAGGCGAGAGAGTTAGAAATAGGAAAAAAAGAAGAAGAAGAAAGAGGCTCACACGTGCGGTGCATGCGCTGGCCAAGAGTGCGCCGGGTTCCAACCCCTCCTGTGCTGGCTTTTTATAATCCCGCGGAATTCGCGGGGTTTCGTTAAAGGTTTGAAGCTGCTTCTCCGTTGTCGTCATCTCTCTCTCTCGCCATCTTCTTCAACGACATCGACCGCTTTTGCACGATCTCCTTCCAGGTAACGTCTCTGCTGGCCATTACGGTCCTCTCGCCGGCTCGTTCGTCCTTGTGGGGTTCATAGATCCAGGCGATCCTCGCTCGTGTTTGTCTCGTTTCCGACCGATTAAGTCAAACGAACCAGGAGAATCTAGGAGTAGGGTAGCGTTTGTCTCGGACGGCCTCGACGTTTCGTCGATTCTTTTGGAGGGTTAAATCCCCGTTTGCTTTCTCGGACGTTGCAGCTAATGCCTGTTGTTGTTGGGTCCCGATTGGCTCCGAGGCGATAGCGGAAAGAGGATGAAGTTCGGCGAGACGTTTATGGAGTACCTGCATGGAGAGCAGGAGCGGTTTCTGGGCGAGTGCTCTCATGTCGAGTACAAGAGGCTGAAGAAGGTCCTCAAGAGATGCCGCACCTGCAAATCGTTGCACCGGCCTTGCGACGCGGGGCGAGGAGAGGATGGCGCGGGGCGAGGAGAAGAGGACGGGTCGCCGCAGCTGTGCCAATGCGAAGCTTGTCCGGGTGAGCTTTTGTTCCCTTTCGGGAGCCTCGCGTATTGTGTTTTGCTGCTGAATCAAATTTTGAGCTGGTCCTCTTATGGGTACTTGCGAGACTAACGTGTTAGCCAAGCTGCATCAGTCTCAAACCGAGACAGTGGGCATGGCCATGGGTGAATGCCCGGCGAAGGCAATTTTCTTGGGGCTGCCTGTGGGGGCATCTTGCTTCAGCTGTAGTGTGACAGATTAGGTGCCCTAAAAGGCTCGGATATCCAGCGTGATTAAATAATGGAACTGTGTTTTAGATTCGCGATCTGCACGTGTATGATTTATTATGCATTTTTGGATGGGTTCTTTATTCGAAAACGCTGTTTAACATGAACAAAGGAAGTCCTTGGAGAGTGGATATGAACATCATGCCTTATTGCAAGAATATTTCAGCGCATGAACCGCGCTCGAGTTTAAAAACACTATATGTGCAGGAAGACTTTCTATAAGTTTTTTACTCAGCTGTTATGACAAGCAAATACTCAATACAGAAGTTGCTGTTTACCAAACAAAAGTTTGGGTGAATATATCGCTCAATTCCTTCGTTGAATATGTTATTGACTATCTTTCGATGCTAAGTGAAGATATAAATGGTCAACCTGACATCACAAAATCATGCCCAAAAACATGTTATTCACATCATACAACAGAAGAAGCAATTAAGATTTTGAAAAAAAAAAACGAATTGCAACTTCTTATTAATAGTTCATCCACAAAATCATAGCCTTACATTACTATATGTTCAAAACTTTGTGGCATTAAGTAAAACATGCACATTTCTTTTTCGTAGCAATTGCAAAAGGCATTTTGTTAAGTTATTTTCAATTTTTTTGGGGTTACTTTTTTGAGAGATAATTGGAGAAGAGCTGTTTGATGCACAGGTTGGGAAATAGTCCGCAAACTATGACAAGAAATCTGTGCGTGTGTGAGTGTGAGTGTTTTGTTAATTTTTTCTGGAGACAGAAACTATCTGTGAGTGTAAAATATTGATGTTTAGTCTCCGTGGAGGATTATATTGGATGCCATATCCTGCTTAAGTATAGAAGTTCTCAAAGTAGCGGCGTCACCTAAGTAGACCCTTTGTCATTGATGGTTTTTATCTGGCATAACCTGAAGGGATATGTGACAAGCTGACTCCTGGAGTTCTTAATAATCTTTTGGAGTTGGACAACTTTGCTTAAAAGAAATTTAATTATCTATGTGCTGTAGTTTGACATGAACTTGATCTTCATGTTACAGGTTTCTTTTTTTTTTAAACCCCCATTGATGAAATTTAATTAAAGGGAACAAGCATATTGATATGGAGATTTTGTGGACTTATTTGTCACCTTATTTTCTTGCTGATTTGAATGAGTTGGTATTTCTATATTACTCATGAATATCTAAACTATACTTTATTTTTTACCTTCAGGACATTAATATATTATAAATTGCATTGCAAATTTTATAAATGACTATTCTTGCATTTTGCAGAGTGTGATCAGCTGTTTTTCTCTGAGTTGATGAAGGAAGCTTCAGAAATAGCTGGATGCTTTAATTCAAGAGTTAGACATCTTCTCCATCTTCTTGTTGCAACTGGGATTCAGAGGTACATACAGTGCTTTCGTCCATGTTTTAAGGGCGATCAACAAGTCCTGTCAGAAGAAGGAAGAATATTGATAGAATATGTCACTATGAATGCAATTGCCATCAGAAAAATCCTGAAGAAGTATGACAAGGTGTACACTCTATAGTCCATATGAGCTATCTTTATTTTGTGCTCTTACGAGTTGCTTATTTGATGAGGATACTCCAATTTTTCAATCTGTCATAGGTTCATGGCTCTGTCAATGGGGAGCATTTTAGATCTAAGATGCGGGCCGAGCATATAGAGCTCTTGCAATCACCATGGCTAATAGAACTGGGAGCTTTCTATTTGAATTCCAGAGGATTAGACGCTGAAGAGTGTGCTGACTGTTCTACTCAGTTTTCATTTCATTCTGATGAGACAAAATCTGCTCTGATAATGTCACTTCCAGGTTCTATAAAGCTAGAATATGATCTGACCTGCGCTATTTGCCTGGTATTTTTCACTTTAGTATTCAATGGAGAAAAAAGTTTTAATCTTTGTTTCCAGTATTATCTAATCTCAAGGGCTTGTGATCTTACAGGACACCGTTTTTAACCCATATGCACTTAGCTGTGGACATCTTTTTTGCAAGTCATGTGCTTGCTCTGCGGCATCTGTGATGATCTCCGAAGGACTTAAGGCGGCAAGTGAGGATGCCAAATGTCCGGTTTGTAGAGAGGTTTGTGCTTTTTATTGTATCAACAGTTGAAGTTTTTGAAGCTAATACAGTTTGCTGATGTCCCATAGGGCAGCTGTAACTGTATGCGCTAACAGCTGTCTGGTAATCTACAATCTCAGTAGCATGATACACCATCTTTCTTTTTGGCCAGAAGCATGATACGCAATCAGAATCGCTAAATCGACCACCTTTCTCTTTAATAATAGAGGAGAGAACCTTTTGGTATTATTTCCAGTCGTGAAAATTTTTTCTATCAAGAAGTCATTTCTGATCTATAGCTAGGACTATGAGTCGATATTTAATTTTGTAGCATACACGAATAACAAGAGTCTTACTTTGGGCTGTACATTTCTTTGCCATCCATGAGGCCGCTGGAGAGAGGAGACCCTTTTCTGACTCTCCAAAGGAGACGAGTTGTTTGTTTCCTTCTTGTTATTTTCTTAATTTAAATAGTCATAAGAACCTTGATATACGGTAATACTTTCCTTTGAGACTAGTTTAACACGAGATTAGTGTGTTTTGTCTTTCTCTGCCAGTGATTTTGTGACTTCATTCCCATCCCTTTTTTCATCGCCAACTTTGAACTATATATGTGATAGATTGGTTGAACATATAACTGTATTGAGTCAATTCCAATAATTACGAAAACCAAACAGATACAGAGGTATGAGCTACTAGTTTGGGATGACAGACTCTTTTACTATGTGCACCATCTATCTTAATTTTAGCTTGGTCCAGGCAAGTTACCTTAGTATAACATCTGATACCTCGTGTTGAAAATAGAGTAGTGGTATCCAACTACCACCTGTGATGCTAACTCTCAAGTATAGTGAGTATCTTTTGGAAATCTTTTTTTTTTTTCTGGTCAGAATCTTTTGGAAATCTATCTATGTGCTTTATTTCCGAAATGGAATTTTATCATAAGCAACTCGGCTCAAAATGGCCTTCACTGTAAGTTATCTATGCATAAGCTCCGAGAGGTGCAAAAGTTGGGCACTATGTTGCTTGGTCTTTATAAAATCTTTAGTTGGCTACCTTACTGCATCAATGCTATTGAGGGAATGCTTCCTCCTAGGCGGGAAGGTAATCGTTCTCCACTTAGCTTTTAGGCCACATGTATGCCGGGGGGGTGATCTTGTGCTTGATTGTGCTAACGTCTACTTGAGGTTTGGGGTTTATAATCCTAATCAATCGGAAGCAGGCTAATTGCCTAACATATGGTTTTCTAACTAGTTTGGAGGGGTTGGGCTTGACCATCCATGTTTTTTGATTTTGTGGTCTCTATATGCTTCATGTGGTGATCTTCTCGCTTTGCGCCACAAGAAGATTGTCATTGCCTTTCAGGATTTAAGGCTGCAGAAATGCTTTTCCTCATCACATATTATTAATAGCTCAGAAGCATATCAATCCCTAAGTACCTTTGGTGGTAATGTACTAATATCCATACATTCAGCATTCTCTTCAAAGATGGGCACGGGATACTGGACGGGCCTGTGGAGTTTTTCTTTAAACTTCATCCCAGGTTCATTAGTAATATTCTGGCAGGAATCATTTTGAATCTTGTATCCTCAGGAGCAATGACTCTGGTCTCTCCACGCATTCAGCACAATCTATCGATCAAGTTAAGCTTGATTAGTTTCGGCTTCTTATGAGCCTATTGGGGTCAACAATATGGTTGCTGTTACCTACTTTGACAGTATCTGAATCCAAGGGGCTTAATTATAACAAGACTGAACGTGAATTTAATGTTGAATTCTTATTTGGGCAAGGGGGATTTGACACAGCATACTTCTCTTTGATTATTCTTTATAGCCTATCTTAAAACAGGCTCTCTCTACTTCTTACTTGATGCTGACTAGAAATTATAAAGAGTGGCTTTCCAGCAGTCAATATTTTTCTTTGACATTTCCCCTTCATCGTGTGTGATTTCTTCTTGCTTGTCAATCATATGTGACATGCGGAGTAACTTATTCTGCAGCAATATCTTTTTTCCCCCTGTTTGATGTGGCGTGTTGTGTTGCAGGCTGGAGTTTATGGCAATTCTGTGCATTTGTCAGTGCTAAATCTGCTCTTGAAGAAAAGGTGAGCTAACTCGAATTCACCTTTTCTACCGGATTTACTTGTGATCAAGAAAAGGAGATTTAATGCCTTTGTGTTCCTACAATATCTATTCAGGTGCAAGGAATACTGGGAGGAGAGGTTGAGCGCCGAACGCGATGAGATGTTGAAACAGTCTAAAGAGTATTGGGACAGGCAAACGAAGTACATGATCGGATATTTTTAATGACGCCATTCTGTCTTCCGGAGAGACAATGCGCGAGGAACGGAGTGTTAAGCTTTGTGGACAGAAGATTGTGTCGAGAAGCCTTTGCATTTGAAATTCCTGAAGTGATTGAACAGGGTGAGGTGAAGTATTTATCAGTAGTGTAGTAATTATGAGGGAGTTCAGTATCGACAATACGTAGATGTTGGGATTCGAGGTTTGACATGTTGCTGAAGATCGCATCTGTTTGTTTTGTGATTGATTTATACGGTTCGCTGAAAGATTGGAATTGTCGGATCGAGGTTTGACATGGGGGTGAAGATTATTTTCCGACTTTTTTTTGTTTATGGATATTATAAGCATGTTAAAGTTACTAGCTTTTATGAAGAAATTATCAATTCTTGTTCCAGTCAACTTACCTTTGTTTACCTGATTGTAACTTTCACATGTTCGAAAACTCCCCAAACTCGGCGATCGCTTCCTGCTCTCGTCGAACCGGATTGTTATACTAATTTTTTTTCTAAATTAGCATGGATTAAAAAATGGACATATTAACTCATCATTTTTCAATAATCCAAATCGGCTAATAATGGTCCATGTCATTTAACAAAGTATAAATTGTCGTTTGCGCAAACGGAACGACTACATTAAACATTTACCAAATAGTTTATGAACCGCATTTACCAAATAGTTTATGAACCATATTGAACAAATTAAAAGTTTAAAAATAGTATTACACATATCCAAAGTTTAGATACCATTTGTGTCATTGTCCCTAACTTTAACGTGTTGGCCATTTTAACAAATAAATATTGGTAAATTATAGGAATCGTTGGTCATTATCAAAACAATCGTTGGTAAGTGGACTCAAATAAAACTTGGTAGTTTCTTAAAAGAGTTGGCAAGTTGATTGATTTGGTAGGCTGTCCATTAAAAGTTGGTAAATCATCGATAACAGTTGGTACCGCAAAATAGTTAATGATAATTCTAATAATTGATAAAAATCTACTTGCATTGCTTAAGTCAGTAACTCTTGTATGATCGTCAATTTTTATTTGAGTTAATTACCAATATTTGTTTGATGTTTGGTTGTTGCCAACTGTTTGAAGTAAAGATATGTAATTGTCTGGAAGGACTAAATAATTCTAGTAATTTTCTAAAAGTGTTAGGTACGTTACCACCGTGTGATAGGCCAAGCAAGTTGGCGATCAACTTTTTGTTACTATCAGGATCTAATATTTACCAACAGTGTCATGCAATTTCAAGTACGGATCAATGTTCTGTACTTTAGAGCACTAAATCATTCGGTACTTGTTTAGAGAACAATAACGTGATTCTCGTGTCGCGGAAAAGCCATGAAATTAATATCGAAATGGAAGTGGACTTTATTTGGGAGGCTCGAAGGTGTGTCTTCGCTGTCTGTTAGAGGTGTCAAAACCAAATCGAAAAATCGAATCGAAACCGGAATCAAACCGAAATTTTGTGCATTTTCGATTTTGTTCGGGTTTCAGATCGAATAATGGTTATATTCCGATTTGAATAGTTTCGGTTTGGTTACCGAATCGTACCGAAAATTGCTCATCTTCTTAATATTATAGTCTACACAATCTCTCTCTCTCTCTCCTTTTTTACTAAACATTTTCTTAATGTTAAAAAAAGAAAAACCGAAAACCTAGTTGTTTTCGATTATATTCATATTCGGTTCGGATCGCAATTTGGTTCGGTTCAATCATTTACCCTAATGGTTTGGTTCGGGTTTCCTAAAAACTCGAATTGGATCGAACCGTCGACACCTCGGTCGTCATCGGCAATTGATGCAGCGAGGGTCGGGCTGGCCGTCGTGTGGACAAATAACGACGAGAATAGACGGAATAGTAAAAGATGGGCGATGAAAGATTGTGCATTCGTCTTTGGTAAACGTTTGATCAGTCTTTAACCTTTGTCATACGGGTGAAAAAAAGAAGAAGAAGAGGCCTTTTGGATTTATCTGATCCGATGAATGTGATGGTGACAACTGACAAGAAACCGCATCATGCGTGAGTGAATCCATGGCGAAGACATCATTATCGGTTCGGCTGACGTTCGTGTCCGATCCATCGTATCTGGTTCAACGACCTGGGAGAGAGAAGAAAACACTGAACAGTCGACGAAGCAAAATTCTCCACGTAAAGATTCGATTTTTTTTGGGTCCAGTTCGCTCGCTCCAGTCCTCCAAAGCGCCTTCCTTCCTTTCTTCCATGAACTTGCTACTTCCAGTGTGACTTGACCCCCCTTTGAGCTCCCATTTCTCCTCCCAAATCTCGCGATTCTTCGCCGCCGCCGCCGCCGCCGTTGTCTTCTTCGTCGTCGTCATGGCCTTCAATTCCTGGTTCAGCCGCTTGATGCGCGCCTCTTCGTCTTCCAGGGCCGTCCTCGACGGTTTCCGCGGCCCCGCGCTTTCCCGGGGCCGTCATCCGTGTACGGCCCGGAGGGCGCTCGCGGCGACCGCTGCCGGGCCCGGCGGAAGCGGAAGCGACGACCGTCGGTTCTGGCTGTGGTCGAGCGCCTTGGTCCCGCTCGCGGTCGCGGCGTCGGCCGGATCACTCGCTCTTCGGTCCTCTCCGGAGCCGTCGCTCTGCGAGGCTCCCGTTCTCGATGCTGGGTATGGAGCTATCTCGTAGATTTGGGTTTCGACGTTCGTCCTGTGTTGGTCGAGTATTGGGATTAAATGCTGAAATCGAGTGCGAGCTTTGTAAATAGGCAGCTGACGATGGTGCTCCAGATAAAGATGGAAGAACAGAAGTGAAAATGGCATTAGGAAAATTAAAATCTTTTTGACTTAGTGGCAGAAGAATCTTCCTGTATCTTATATCTTTATGAAAACAAACAAGGATATTCGTTGTTGATGACATGAAGCAAAAAGCTTTTGCTCCGTGTAGACTTTGTGGAGTGATTGACTATTGTGGTTTTTTTTTGAGTATCATGTGGGTCATGTTACATTCCCTGCTAGAATCATCTTTTTTTCGTGATGCTTTTTGCTGTTTATGACTGTGCCCTCTTTGGTGTTGCTGGGCTCATTCTGGGAGTGGACTATGAATGATTAATATCATCACTGACATTACAAAACAATTGATTGTTTAGGTTGTTGAAAATCCCATCGCAGGAATTAATTTATGGCAAATTCCCATGATTCTCCAGAAACTTTCAATACCTGCTCGAGTCCGGGTTGTTTGTTCTTAGCTGTCGATTATTTGGGACTTTGATTTATTGAATGCTTTGGCTACAGTCTGAGACTCAGCTTCTGTTCCCTTGATAAGAAGGTGGATAAAAGGAAAGTGGACGCTTTTAAATTTGAAGAAAGTAATTGAACTACCTATAGTTACCTTAAGTCTCTGCCATTTCATATTGTGGACGTATATTCTCTTTTTTTTTGTGGCCTAATGTGTACATATATTTGTTTTCTATGTGTTTGTGCTGAAAGTTTTCCGGAGTCAAACTTATTCTGTTTTTCCCCAAGTTTTTCAGCAATTTAACAAAGAACAGTGGGATGATAAATTTTCAATTCTGGATCTTTTGTTTTCTAGTGCTCATGGAATTTTCTTCCCATTCCGACTTTTAATGAGCCTGTGAGGATCTTGATTTGGTGGCAACTATTCTTTTGATGTCAGAGGTGTCAAGGTCGGGGGCAAAGGCAGCACGGCATATCTGGTGAAAGGCTCTCATAAGGAGGTTCCACAAGAGCTCATTGACGAACTTGTGGCCATCTGTGGGGTACTTTGTCTCACGTTTGACAATTTGTTGAAATTGTTTGTTACCCGTAGGATGAGGACATTCTTGCTTATCGTGTTGGTTTATTGTGGTATTACTTGTGCAGGAAAACGTGACAATGGATTATGAAGAGAGGTTTTTTCATGGAAAGCCTCAAAACAGTTTTCACAAAGCAGTGAATATTCCTGATGTTGTTGTTTTTCCCAGGTAAGATTGGTTATCTTTGTTCAGTACATCATATGCACCAATGAAAGGCTTGGCTTACCTGCCTTTCCAGAGGTTACCTTTTGTATCCAAATAGTGCTTTAAGTAGAAAATTCAAGACCCTAGCTCAATTTCACTGGATCACATCAATTGCTTACTATCTGATCAGAGTGATCGAGGCGTGCAGGTGAAGTAGGTAAAGAGGGATGGCAATCGATTTTTAGTTAAAATGGTGATACAATTAGTTAGTGTAGCGCCCGTATGGATACTGGGGAATAGGGGGGAATGATTTTAGCTGGATGCTTGTGGTTGTTGAGATGTTCTTCAGGAATTATAGCTTGACAACATGATCACTAACAAATAAAATCTACTACTACAGGGGGAAACCAACTTTGGTCATGGTTTGAAGACGTTTTTCAGGAATTATAGATTAATAACATAATCACTAAGAAAAAACATTCGAACATTATTAGTTACCTCTACAGGGGAAATAAACTTTGTTCATATATTAATTTTCTTGTTGACTTATCTAGCAAGTTAGCAACGTTAGGTTTCCTCTTTATTAAATTTTCAAAGAAGTTGCTGCAAATTAATGTATATTCCTACTCAGTACCAATTCTGTTTTTCATTACTTGTTTCATTTGAATGCTTAGAAGAACCTATATCCTCAAATTTACTCGTTCTCATTCTCAATGAATATTTTAATTAGTTTGTACTGTTGAATTTCCTTTTCTATCGTATTCTGTCGATATCTTTTTTCCATCTCATTTGATTGACCATAAACTGATTCTAATCTGTTTGGGTCTTGAGTTGATGAGGTTGGGTACTAGCAATGTGAGCAATCAAATTAGAAGCAGATGGGAATGCTCGTCAAATGCATCAGATGAGAACAATATGTGAAATGTGTCTAGCATTCTAATCTACAGTACCAGCGAAAAGCTTAGAGCAGAAGTTCTCCTAATAGTAATTTCAGATATCATGAGTAGTCTGAAAGACTGAAATGAAACAAAAATATGTTGGTCCCAAGATGGGCCTTTTGATTTTATCGGGTTGTATAAATTGAAATTCTCAGTGGCGCATGCCTAAATGCAAGTTTCTACTGTACTAAACTATTAGCTCTATCTTTCCCTTCAGAAAAAGAACTTGATGGGAAATCCAGAACTTGGCTTCCCGTGCTTTTGCAATTTTGATGCACTCCTGCTTGCCTAATGTGTATTATGGACTTTCAGGTGTGAGGAGGAAGTCTCCAAGATCGTCAAATCTTGCAACGAACACAAGGTTAAATTCTTGAGTAAACTCATTTGGTTATAATGCTTCTGTTATTATCACATGCTTGTTATGTTTGTAATTGGCCGGTGCTCTCTTTTAACTTAAAAAAAATTTGGACAACTCTCCCTTTGCTGGCCTAATTTTCTCGCTGAAAGTACCTGCATTTGCATCTAAATCTTGGACTGCTTTAAGTAATAACTTTTTCTGTTCAAAATATTCCCCAAACAGGTTCCGATCGTGCCATATGGTGGAGCTACGTCAATTGAAGGTCACACATTATCCCCCAATGGTGGTGTTTGCATTGATATGACATTGATGAAAGTATGTTCAGTTACCTTGTACTTTATATTTTATGTAAATACCTGCCTATTATTCTAAAAATACACATAACTAATTCTACTATTGAAAACCAAGTCAATGGGAACTCTTAATGTCCTTCAAATTCATTTTGCATGGCAATTTATTTCTTAATAATTTGGTGGTTGATTTCGTTTTTGACATGGTAGCTCGTCAGCATTTCCTAAAGTATGAATACTGCGATCATGTATAAGAGGTCATTTTGCTGGGTTCTTCTTATCAACCTGTTTGTATGGGGATGTCACCCCCTTAGTACCTTTCATGAAATTCTTTTTGTCCTTCAAAATGAATTAGAAAATGTGATATACATTCTCTTGAGTTTGATCATGCACCTGGCTTTAAATTAGATTTCATGACAACCTTTACTCCCTTGTAAATTTGCTTTCTTTTACTGATGTGGTTTGAAAGTTAATGTCATCTGATAGTCATTAAGGAAAATCTATAAGTTCATGTTTGTGTTTGTGAGCTTCAACGTGTGGATGTGAATTTTCTGAATATCGTCCATCGCTAGTGCTGCTGAAGTAGCTTTAGGTTCTGCCACCTCTGTGTTTGGGAATATGCTGAATTAATGGGCATTTAGATCATCATCTCCTTCAATCAGTTCTGTGTTTGATTGTCCCTCTCTTTCTTGTCAAGTATGAGCTCCATCACTCTTCATCAATTTGGTTCCTCCTTTCAAGGACATGCACAGTTCTCCTAGGCCATCCTTCAAGGACCTAATTCATGGTGTCAGTTTAGATGCTTTTTATCAAATGCCTCACTAGAAATACTCATGCTTGTTCTTACCAATTTCCCATTCATCTTAGATTTTATGCTGCGTGGAATTTAATTACTAGCATAAGCCGATCACATTCGTTTTAACATCTCGTTTGGTGTTATTTTTTTGTGCATAACCCGATCATGATTAGAGTTTGTCTTACATTTATGGAATACTGTTGGCTAGAGAGTTTCAGTGACTTATATTACGCCATGTTCGTAAAGACTGCTTTAAAGAGGCATCATAACAGTACCTGTCTTGCTTTGAATTTCTTATTCCTAATTTTTGGTGCTTAAATTGCTCTATTTTTTTTTTTTTTGGAAGAGGGTCAAAGTATTGCATGTTGAGGACATGGATGTTGTTGTTGAGCCTGGCATTGGTTGGATGGAGCTTAATGAGTATTTAGAACCTTATGGCTTATTCTTTCCTCTGGATCCAGGTCACTTTACTTATCAACACCTCGTGTCAGTTCTTTGTACTATTATTAATGCTGGAACTTATGGGGCCTCCTTATTTGACTGATTTATTCTCCTAAATAGTTATTTTCAAGACATTAGTGTACATTTAAGAAATGTCTTAAGGAATTTGCTTGTAAAAGAGATTTTGTCTTGTTGATGTTTGTGCTTTCCGTAGCACGGTTTAGTGTGGAATATCTCAAAGTTTCTCAAAATACATTGGCAAACAGGTCCTGGCGCAACTATCGGGGGTATGTGTGCTACTCGTTGCTCGGGTTCTCTGGCTGTGAGGTTAGTTCCTTTGCTTTCTTCCTCATGTTATTAGATGATTGCAATGGTCTTGCTATAATTTTACCATAGTCGTCCTTTTTCTTATGTCAAATATCAACAAGCTGCTAATTGGTATGGAGTGCTTCACTTGTTGATTAGGTTTCCGTGCTTGTTTCCAACCGGCTTCTTTTAGAGGATGGGGAGTATTCCAATACGTGAAACTTGTTTTTCCTGTTTAAGTGATGACAGGCAGAAAGGTTTGGGGAGTTCCTTTTTTTATGATAAATTCTAGAATGCCCTGAAAACTTCAATCGCCACAGAAATTAACTACTACATCCATTTGTTTGGGCTTGAAGGAAGTATTTATTGCTTTCCCTCCTAAATTGTGAAGATGTTAAAAAGAATTTTTTGAAAAGAGAAAAAATTGTGAAAAACTCTACATTTCGATATACATGTTTTGAAAGGATTTAGGTATTCATCATTTACTAAAACTCCAATTTCAACCACAGCAAGCAAAGAAAAGGCCAAAGTAAAAAGCAAAATTCATCCCAAATAGTCTTTCAAGAAGGTATCTGTGGTAAATTCCACAAAGAGCAGGTGTTTTAATGATGATGCATGGTGGTATATTTTCCAGCAAGTCAATTTCTGTAGAATGTGTGAATACTAAATTATGCAGATAATCTGTTTCAAAAGAAGCTTATTCGTTTTACGTCAGCTAAATATAATATGAAGCAATTTTTTTTTGTCAGAATGATATGAAGCAATTGACCCAGCTAAATATGATGTGATGTAATTGCTAGTCAGAAACTTGCCACATGGTAAAAAAAAAATCTCTCAAGTGTGTTTCTTTTCTTGGCAAGTGATGTCCAAGCACATTTACAAACATATTTACATGCAAGTTCCTGTCAAATAAGTAGCCATAATTCAGTAGCGTACTTATGGTTTGTGGTTCCTTAGTTTACCATTGGTGCCAATACTGGCAGCCAGAGTTTGGATTTCCTTTGTCTATATGAAACATGAATTCTAACCCTCCACCATATGAAGGTGTGCATATTATTAAGCTTCAACTGCTATTTTGTTCTTCCTTTTCTCTTTTCTATGGTAAATTTCTACACTATTTCCTAAAAAGATAGTCTGATTTTGTTGGTTTTAATCACTTAAGTTTTTAGCATGTAGGTATGGAACTATGCGTGACAATGTTATCAGCCTTAAGGTTTGTGGAGTTCTTCCTTGTTGTTTCATTTACATGCTGCAGGATTTCTCTAACTGCTTGTATTCTAGGTAGTTCTGGCCAACGGAGATGTTGTAAAGACTGCTTCTAGGGCTCGAAAAAGTGCTGCAGGGTTGGTTCCATTATTCTCTCTCAGCTTCTTTTTCCTCTAGCGAGTTTTTGTACCTTATGTTATTTTCTCATTTATCAGGTATATCGCGTGTCTGAATTTAATTGAAATGAGGATGTCAAAATAGTGTAATATGCCCTAGTTTGTTAGGCTGCGTTCAATATAGAATATGCTTTTATGGAGGAACTGATTTTATTAGAGAATGAAATGAGCTAATAAAAACAAAGAAAGCTAAGGTGTTTGTGGTGGAAGAGCGGTTGGGTTAGGCTGACTAAAACCTGGTTAACAAAAGGCATTATGTGCCGGTGAGAGGAGATATGGCAAGAGTACAAGCTTTCATTTAATGTGCTGTACTCCACTGCTGACCAAAAAACAAGAAAATGTAAATGGAGCTTCGGTACAAATTCTCATCCGTATAGATCCCAATAGGAGAGACGTGTGAAGCTTATATGAAGGCAGAGAAGAAGAAAATGAAGGTTCGTGGATTTTGGGATGTTACATATAGAGTTCCAATGTCATGAAAGTTTTGAATGCTGTATTTGCTGTGTTTTAGATATGCCTACTGTTAGAGGTGGTGTGTATGCATATAGTACAACTTATCTGAAAGTTTTATCATGTTTGGTTGTCTTGTATTGGGACTCGTGCTATATATCTTCTCTTACTCGTGCTTGGCATAACTTGCAATAAAGAAATCTAAGTTAAATTTTTCGATGCCAGAGTTTCTGAATTTATAGCCATAGCAAGATTTTAGGATTTCTTTAAATGATTGATGAAATATTTGTAAATTATAGGGTAGACAAGCCATTGATTTAAGTAAAAGGCACTCTTGATATTTAGGCACTAAGGTTGTAGCTTTGGTCTTGCTTTCTTTATGAACATATAGTCCATCATAATGCCATTCCAATGGATTTATTACTCCAGTTTAGGCAGAATTTACAGTCCAGGTGGTTCTCTTCTGGTTTTCTCTGTATTCTTGTTTACTCAGCATCTAGAAATTTCGATAGATTTTGACCACTAGCTTGTGGAATGTGAGAGCACAATTACATGACAATATTTTAGAGACATTAGAGAGAGGTTTAGTAGTTGATAAATATTACATGCTCCAGAAAAATTAATTCCTCAGGGTTTGCGGGAATGAACTTATATGAATCAAATGCTAAAAACTTTGAAAAACCTTCCCCCTCTAGAATGTTGGTTTTAGTTAGCTTTCAGCTATATATGATTTTTGCAATGTGCTGCTGATTTTGGAGATTATTCAAATAATAGGTATGATTTGACCCGCCTGGTTATTGGGAGTGAAGGAACTTTGGGTGTCATAACAGAAGTCACCCTACGACTTCAGAAACTTCCACAGCATTCAGTGGTACTTTGAAACTCTCTTTCAATTTCATCTCTGTGTGTCAATAGTACACATATTTATTATCTGTCCAACCCAGTTAAAATATCTCAAATTCAATGCGGAGAAGCATTTTACTCTCTGCCTTTGCCCTTCTTTTATTATTATTTCATCTCATCGTATATTCTAGTCTACTAGAGTAGTGGTAATGACCGGTCTGATGAGGGCGAGGAGTGATTGGTGAGGACAAAAGGGTTCGAACAAGGTGCTGCTCATGTCAGATTTTAGGGATGATGAAGAGCGGGAAAGAACCAATTACATACTCAACAGGGATATAGTGTTCATGAGTTATATATTTTCACAAGAGGTGCCTTTTGGTGTAAGAACATACTTTATCATTGAAACTCCTATGTCAAGCAAGCTCGGGTGAGAGCATTATCGGGGCGGATGATCTTATGGGAAATTGCTTACATTTACATAGAAGGAAAAACTGCATGGCTTAGTATTGGATGGACCAAAGTGGACCATACTTCCAGTGAGTTAGTTCAGGATGTTGGAGTAGTAGATAAGTGTGTTCCCATAATTGATAAAGAAATGACCCAAAGGAGTGTTTATGTTGAGACACTTGAATTCTCTCTTGCAATTCGTCGCTCTGTTACTATCTTTTGTTTGAGTGGATAAGAACATGCAAGGAAACTTTGATTTTTAAAAGAAATGATCATGGGTTGCTCTCTTGCAATAGGCTTTATAGCGATAAATGTGTGAAATGGAAGTTCAGGTGCTCTGCTTATTGCATTTCTGGAAATTGATTAAGAGTTCATATCATTTTTTTTGGTAAGGAAGAGTTCATATCATTTGTATATCCATATTTAGAAAATTGAGCTGGTCAATTGAATTTATTATAATCTTTCAAACTCATGGAGATCTTTTCTGTCGGTGGATCCTGATAATGCTGCAGGTTGCAATGTGTAACTTCCCCTCTGTGAAAGATGCAGCAGACGTTGCTATTGCCACTATGCACTCGGGCATACAGGTATTAGCAGCTGATTGAGCCACTTTTCTAGCTGCACTTCCTTTATCTTTTCATCTACACTAGAAAAATTTATTGTCCACCAATTGTCTGCTCAACCTCTGTTCTTACTGGCTAGGTATCAAGGGTTGAGTTATTGGATGAGGTCCAAATCAAGGCTGTTAATCTTGCTAATGGGAAGAATTTGCCTGAACTCCCCACATTGATGTTTGAATTTATTGGCACAGGTGAAAAGATGCTTTTTAAATATTATTTCGTTTCAACTTATTTGCTATTAGCATCAGGCTCAACTTCTTACTTTCTGTTACCCAAGGCTCGACGTCTCAGACCTGGTTATGGTATTAATGTCAAAGAATAACACCGGGGTGGGGGAGGGGGGTGACCAAGTGAATCCTGCTTGTTGATGCAGTAATGTCCTGTCCACGTGCATGCCCAGGAGCATGTATCTTTGGTGCTGCATAGCATTCTTCTTTAGTTTCGCTAGTTACTTGTATTTACTATTTTCAGATGCTTAGGGAATCTGGTTGTGTTCTCAGAAGAAGTTATAGCTTATCTCACCACAGAGATAAAAGAAGCCATTACATAGTAGCTAGCATTTAAAAGCCAATAACAATGGCGTGTAGTATTATAGAAGTCGCTAAGTTCAGTACAAGATCATTTCTTGGTGGTAACAGCCAGAGGGTGATCTTTCCTGGTTGGTGACTTGAATGTTTAATACGATTTATATTCTACTCTTTCTTCATTGTGCTGTTAACTTTTGCATTTTATTTTTCGATGACTACCAAATCTAAAAATCTTCAAACGAGTAGGCACTTCTTCACCTTCATATACCCTTTTCCTGGTGCCACAAATCTTATCTCATTTTTGCTGTAGTATAGAGGCTTATTCACTCGAGCAAACAAATATTGTCCAGAAGATTGTTTCTGAGCACAACGGCTCGGACTTTGTTTTTGCAAAGGATCTTGAAGCCAAGAAGGAACTTTGGAAGGTATGATTGTTAGTTTAGAACCATATAAAAGCATTCCTTTCTTCTTTCTGAGTTGGACTAGCCATAGGGGCATACAGTGGTAGTTCTCTGCTTATAATGTTTTTTTTCTGGTACTAATGGTCAGTGCCTTTTTGCACCTTTTATCTTTTATTAAGAATGCCTCATCTATGGATGGTTAGCTAGTATGTTTACTAAATCATTCTATTCTGATGTCGTTGGTTCCTAAGTTAGCTTATATAATCCTTTACTTCGATCTAGCAAATCTTGTATAAGGCCCATTTAAAGGTGCTTGTAAATATACCCGACCTCTGTGATCAGGTGGAGTAATTTTGTTCTACTTTGTATGATTGCTTGATCACTGATAACAGAAAGCTACTGTTTGCTGTCTGACTTGTGTATCAAATTTTCTTGACATCGGTTTTGTCTAGATAAGACTTGGTTGTATCTTTGTGCACATATGCAGATAAGAAAGGAAGCTCTATGGGCTTGCTTTGCTATGGAACCCACTTTCGAGGCTATGATTACGGTTCGTAGAATCTCCATTTGTTGATACATCTTGACTATTATTGTTCATGTTGTAGTTATTATTATTATTATTATTATTATTATTTTCACTCTGTGTTCATGTGCAACAACCCCCCTAAAGTAGAGATTATGTTCTGGCTTGAAAGAATGAAAAAGACCAAGAGAAGGTCTCAGAATACGTTAGAAAGGAAACAACCTTGGCTTTTGCTTGCTATGTATTCCTCATTAAGGAATTTCTTGGTGGATTTTAATGAGTTTTGTGTTTGTATTTGATTTTTAAATTTGTTTTGGCTTGAGCATGACAACAGAACATCATTGCTGAAATAAATGGATTCTTCATCAAGTTTTTGACTCAGTTCAGTTAAACGCTTAGATAACATGATCTGTTAGCAGAATCTATAGTATAGTTGATCAGATGCCAATTTATCTATTTGCACTGACTAGATACAAATATTGCTTCAACTTGATTATGTTTTATCATATTGCACTGACTAGATTCACACTTTTGGTTTATGACTTCTATATCCATTTAATGTTATGGTAACAGACTAATGGAGTCTCCAACAAAAGCAGTTTTAAGACTTTCTGTACTAACCCTCTTCAACATTGTAGGATGTTTGCGTTCCTTTGTCATATCTTGCCGAACTAATAACAAGGTCCAAACAAGAGCTGGATGCATCACAACTTACCTGGTACGAGCCATAAGGTCCATGCTAATTGAATTGAATGAGTTTGCTCTTTGTATCCATGAGGGACTTGCATAGGACTGAATTATGTATGTTTTTCTGTGGTTATGATCTATGATGACAGCACTGTAGTTGCTCATGCCGGTGATGGAAACTTCCACACTGTTGTTTTGTTTGACCCTAGTGAAGATGATCAGCGGCAGGAAGCAGAGAGATTGAACCATCTCATGGTCCACACGGCCTTGTCAATGGAAGGTATGTCATCTCTCAGGCTAGTTTTGGAGAACGGGAAGCTTCTTCTTATTGGGAAAGGTTGCTTTCGCTATTCCTTTATGGTGTGAAATGTGGGGTGGCAAATTCCTCCTTTATAGATTGTGTTCTGTGGGCGGGAAATGCTGCATACTTAGTTGCTTTCTACTCCTTTATCCATTGTAGGTGGAATATATGATAAATTGCATTGTGAATAGATTGGAAAAAGAAAGTGTAGTGAAGCATCTTTCTGAGCTCATGCTTTTGTGACTGAGCAGGGACATGCACTGGTGAGCATGGTGTTGGCACAGGGAAGATGAAGGTACATCACTCTGTCTTTTGAGACAAGAAGTGTCTTCAAGTAGGAACTGTTGTATGTCGGTTGTGTAGTGATTCATTCAGATGATGGTTGCCCTTTATTTTTCCAGTATCTCGAAGAGGAACTCGGGATGGAGGCTCTGAGGACCATGAAGAAAATAAAACAAGCTGTGGATCCAAACAACATCATGAACCCAGGAAAGCTGATTCCTCCCCATGTATGCTTTTGAAACCTTTTCAAATAAACATTATGTATCGTTAAAGTATATGAGTTATCGATGTATGCATAGAAAATTGATGTCGTGTCATCTTGTTGACGAAAATGATAATACATCCTGCTCTCCTCCTTCTAATGATGCTCCTTGAACTTCATTTTCTCCTTGCAAGCTAAATGGTGTTTTTCAGAATGCACCTAGCTGAAGTCGTTGAAAATCCTTTTCAAGCTCGACTTTCCTCTCAATTTTCACATGCAGTATGACCTAATCTCTTTCGAAAGCTACGTTACACGAGCTCTTCAATTAAAATAAGTTTTTATTTATTTATTTATTTATGAAGAACTTCATTTGGTGGCTGATATATATTTGTTTCTGCAATTGGAGAGATCACAGTTGACTAGACTGAGAGTTTTGTTAATCTGCGAGCAAGTTGTGGGGGGCCTCTCCCGGAATCAAGAGATGGACATGATTTAAGAATTGCAACCAGCTGAATCGTCTCTCCTTTTATAGTAGGAACACGACGGCCTGATTGTAGGTTATAATTGTCAGCAGATAAAGTTCAAGTAGACATCATGTGTTGGGCACTTTGCCTTTCCTTATTTTGAGAAGAAATTACTAGAGTCGCTGTGTGAAACAGTAACCAGAGAACCCCATTCATATAGGTTGATGACGACTTGAAAGTCAATAGAAATATGTTGAAATTAGAATAATGCCCACATGAATATACTTCATTAGTTCGTTGTGTAGGTGGAGTTTGTAGAGGAAAACAATGCCTCCTATCGCGTAGGTCAATGAACTTTGGGAGGACAGAAATTATTGAGGTATTGGACGACCTTTGGTACCGTGTGCAAAGAAGAGAGATAGACTTTGGAAGGCCACTGACCTCGCCCGTGGTTGGCGAGGTTCGACCCTCGCCAACCCTGACCATTGGTCGGTTGCAAGCCATCACCAAGGCCTGGTGACCGGTTTGAGGAAGAAGAAAAGAAAAAAAAGAAAGAAAAGAAAATATTCAAAATTTTTATAAAAATAAAAAAAATTATTAAAATTGTTCACGTCAGCGCTGATCGTGCCATATAGGATAGCCGGCACTGACGTTAGCAATTTCTGGCAAAAATTAGTTTGTTAGATTCAATTGGCAAAATGTGAAAAGGTTTAGGACTCAATTGGCACGATTAAAATGTTAATGATTGAATTGATAAAAGTGCAATAAGTTTATAACTTTTTTGGTAATTCTCCTCATATTTGGGTGTATTTTGCAAATAATAGGGAAGTCGTGTTCTGACATTTATTACAAGAAATTATGAAATACGCATTGAAATGATACTATCTATACTAAAATTCACTTATTAAAGGACGTGACACTGTCTCATTGAATGTTTAAATAAGCCAATTATTCAATTCATTGAGCCTCAATTGTTTCGGTACTCGATGGAAACCCGCCACATCGTTTTATCAAGTTTTACTAGGATTTCTTAGCGCTTCTGAAATCATACTTTTCGTGTTATATGTCCTTACTCACGAGCGTATAAAAAATCGAAATATTTTTCTTATCAAGTACGATTAACAAGTATCTTAGGAGTACCGGTTAACAAAGATAGGCAAATCCAAACCCAACTACTAATAAAAATAATACGATGTCCAGTGACACTCTTTTCCTTGCAAAAGCTAAAATCGTATGTGCAGCATGAGCGTACATCGTCAGCGTGGTGCAACTTGGACATATAAAAGAGAGGAAATTTTACTATTCATCGAATCTGAAGCCGACCACAAATGAAAACTATTAAGATTCGTTTTAGAATAAGCTTTCAAATGTCTCTAGTTTCTGTCGTTTCTCTCCATGTTCGGACACTTTCCCTGCCCACATCTGTATCGCTCCTCACTTGTTCAACCCTCCATTGCCAATTTGCCAACTACATTTGAGAGAGAGAGAGAGAGAGAGCAGAGATGGCGGGTTCGTCGCGTGCCGACATGGTTAAAGATCTCGGGGCGATCCGGATCTATGGCGACGGCTCGGTTTACCGTCTCAAGCTCGACGAACTGGACATCTCGGCAATTCCCGTGATGTGCGAGGACTCCGTCTGTTGGAAAGACTTCACATACGACGAGCCTCGTGACCTCCTACTCCGCATATACAAACCTAAATCAACCACCAGTACCTCGTCCGATGTTCATAAGCTTCCAATCATTGTCTACCTACACGGAGGCGGCTTCTGCGTCGGCTCTCGCGAATGGCCGACCTGCCACAACGGCTGCCTCCGCCTCACCTCCAGCACCGGCGCGGTGGTTGTAGCTCCAGACTTCGGGCTGTCGCCAGAGCACCGAGTACCGGCCATCTTCGACAACGTCATCCGTGCGGTGCGGTGGATTGGAGGTCGGGCCGGGGACGAGTGGCTGAGCGAAGGAGAAGGAGGTAGGGTTGAAATTGACTTGGAGAGGGTGTTTGTGGTTGGGGATTCTTCCGGCGGGACCGTCGCGCACCACCTGGCGGTTCGGCTCGGGTCAGGGTCGCTGAATTTGGATCCCATCGATGTCAAAGGTTACGTTATGATCTCGCCCTTCTTCGGCGGGGTCACCCGAACCGGATCGGAGAAAGATTCGACCGAGCCATGGTTGAATTTGGAGTTACTGGATTGGTATACTTCTGTCACAACTTTTACTAACTTCTTTATCACGCATTTCTCTTCTTTGATCTTATTATCTAAGTGCGAACTAATCATTGATTGAGCCAATATAATCAAGGTGATAGCTTTTAACAACCAGCACATCATGGGTTTAGAATATGGCTAGACTTATGGCCCGTGCTAAATACAATGGCAGAATGTACAATTCGCTCATATCACAGCTAAATTGCCGAGCAAGATTTTTCGCCGAGCGCTTAGGGAGCCCAGCTTCGCAGGTTTTGGAAGCTGGCATTGCCGGACGGCGCGACGAGGGACGACCCGTGGGCCAATCCGTTCAACCCTTCGAGCCCGGACCTGGAGGCCTCGGCTCTCCGGCGCATCTTGGTCATCGCGGGCGGGAACGAGATAATGAAGGACAGGATCGAGGACTACGTGAAGAGGCTCGCGGAGATGGGGAAAGCGGTGGAATACAGGGTGTTCGAGGGTCAATATCACGACTTCTTCTTGAACGATTCGTACTCGGAAACGGGCGGCGAGGTAGCCCGAGCCATCAAGCATTTCATATTCGAAACCTGCGCGTAATTTGGCGCAAGATTTGTACGTTGTTCGGCCGATGGTTTTGAGTAAAGTTCGCATGATTGGGTGTTCATTTCCAACTTCCCTCGTTTAGTTATTGATTAAGGGATTAAGTAGATGAAATTAAATCGGGCGCAAGACTCGCCTTCTTCTGTATGACCATCTTCTCTAATATGACAAGTAAGCGGCGACCATCACTAGGCTGACGGAAGCCGGAAAGAGAGAACCCCCATTATATATAGGCTGATGACTTGAAAGTTGGCAAAAATGGTGGATAAACCACGGAAGGGCAGAAATTATTTGAGGTTTTGAAACATTTTAGTACCATGTGGAAAGAAGAAGAATAATTGATCTTCGGTGAGAGAAGATGGGAAGTGTGTATTGATTGGAGTTTGTTTGTTATATACAAGTTAATTTTAGTCCGAGGCTCCATTTGTTTCGTGAAACATGAGTTTTGCTGCGAAATAATTTAAGATGATATTTATTTTTTGTTGAAATTTGACTGTATTTTAGAAATGATGCGGAAGTCATTAAACGATGTATGTTACAAGAAAATTGTGGAAGACACGGTTGAGAAAGTCTTGAGTACAACTTCAGGTCTTGGGGACCAGGGCGTGTCCTCGCCTACCAAGCCTGGCCTTTGGGGACCTAGGCTCGAAGGGGACCCAGACGCGTCCTCGGGAGACCTGGGCTAGGTTATCAGGGTCTCGAGCGCTAGGTATTTGGGCACAGGCAGGCACTAAGGTCTAGAAGCTTGGCCTTAAGGGACCTAGGCCAAGCATTGGGAGGTCTTGGGCCCGAGTGTCGGGGAACCCGAGCCTAAGCATTGGGATCTAGTCATATTTTGAAAAATTATTGCTGTTTTTGAAGAGTGGACGTCATTTTCTTGAATTTAATCATAAGTATTTGTATATAAAATGTTTTTCCTATTGACTTATTTTCTTAAACGATTGAAACGAGGAAGAAATTATTGTCTAATGATAAATGGTTTGCAAGACAAACGAACCTCATAACCATGTTTTCGTCCCAATAAAATGAAGGAACGTGGATACTCCTAATTCAAGAAAACACATTTATACCATTTTTAGTAGTATTTTATCAATGAATGCCCAACGGACACTTGCTAATCATCCAAGTAAGGAAATTTTGTAATTTTCAATGCATTATCTTTCTCATATTGAACGATACTATCTATACTAAGAAATTTACTTATAAACAACGTGGCAGTTGTCACTCGTTAGATGTATAAAAAAGTCAATCATTCAATTCGCGGGATCCACTCGTTTTAGTACCCAATTATGACTTATTACCCTATTCATGAAGTTTTACAAAGATTTATTAGTACATCTAGCGTTGTCCTTCTCATGAAATGCGTCACTTGAGGTCGCTCACCTCAAGAAGGGTGATTTCAGCCTCAAATCAACCGAGAGAGAGAGAGGGGGGTCAGCTTCGACCAAGAGTCGCTGACCTAATAACATATGTGCAGCACAAGTGTCCAACGTCAGTGTGCTGCAACATATGCACATATTAAAAGAAAGAAGATGCTAATCTTCACCCCTAATCTAACCCAATTGCCATGAATTCCACTAAGTTTCGCTTTAGAAAAAGCTTCAACTCTTCCTAATCTCTGTCATCACTCTTCATATTCTAACACTTTCTCCGCCTTCATTCCCTCCTCTTCTGCATATATGTCACTCCTTGCTCATTCAACCCTCCATTGCCAATTTGCCAACTACATTCAGAGAGAGAGAGAGAGAGAGATGGTGGGTTCGTCACACGGCGACATAGTAAAAGATCTTGAACCAATGCGGATCCATGGCGATGGCTCGTCTTATCGTCTTTATCTCGACGAACTGGACTTCTCGGCAATCCCTGTGATGAACGAGGACTCCGTCTATTTTGAAGACTTTACATACGATGAGCCTCGTGACCTCCAGCTCCGCATGTACAAACCTAAATCGACCCCCGCCACCACTTCCAACGTTGATAAGCTCCCGATCATCGTCTATGTTCATGGAGGTGGCTTTCGCAATGGCTCTCGAGTGTGGCCAAACTGCCACAACAGCTGCCTCCGCCTCACCTCCGGCACTGGCGCGGTGGTTGTCGCTCCAGACTTCGAGCTGTCGCCGGAGCACGGGTTACCGGTCGTCTTTGACAACGTCGTCCGCGCAATGAGGTGGATCGGAGGTCGGGGAGGGCATGAGTGGTTGAGTGAAGGAGAAGGAGGTGGTGTTGAAGTTGACTTGGAGAGAGTGTTTGTGGTTGGGCGCTCTTCCAACGGGACCCTCGCGCACCACCTGGCGGTTCGGCTCGGGTCCGGTTCGTTGAACTTGGATCCGGTCAGGGTCCAGGGTTACATTCTGATTTCGCCCTTCTTCGGCGGGGTCGCGCGGACCGGATCGGAGAAGGATTCGACCGAGCCGTACGTGGTTGACTTTGGAGTTACTGGATTCGTATAATTTTGTCCCGATTTTTGCTAACTTGTTTATTACGCACTTCTCTTCTTGGATCTTATTATTTAAGTACGGATTAACCATGGTTGAGCCAATATAATCAAGGAGATGCCTTAAACAACCACCATATTGCGGGTTTAGAATATGGCTAGACTAATGGACCGACTTATACATGGGAGAAAAACGAAAATTAGATTATAGTACGTAATAAATTTAATATCATAGCTAAATTAAGTCGTCAAATTTCGTACCCTGTTATATAGTAAGGTAAACGAAATTACTTTTGAGATGGATTATTTAGGAATTTTACGTAGAAGATGCGGCCGTCTTATCACTAGATGAAGCCTATAGCTGGAGTGATTGAAAACATATTTTGTTTTAGTTATCTTTTCAAGCTTATCTTATAACTGATATTTCACGTCTTGTACTTCATTCTATACAATTATAGCCAAATAAGATGAGATTAATGGACAATAATGCCAAAGAATTGTCAAGAAGTATGATGTAGAGTTAGGAGTCCCGTTTTTTTATTATTGGGGGATGGGACAACTCGCAAAGATATTGAGACAAATGAAACGAGATAAGATTTCGACGAGCACTTGCACAGCCCGGGCTCGCAGGTGTTGGAAGCTAGCGTTGCCGGACGGCGCAACGAGAGACGACCCATGGGCCAATCCGTTCGGGCCTTCGAGCCCGACCTAGAGGCCATGGGCCTCGGGCGCATCTTGGTGATAGCCGGCGGGAGTGAAATGTCGAAGGATAGGATCGACGACTACGTGAAGAGGCTCACGGAGACGGGGAAAGCGGTGGAATACAAAGTGTTCGAGGGTCGGTATCACAACTTCTTGAACGATTCGTACTCGGAAACAGGGGGAGAGGTGGCCCAAGCCATCGGGCATTTCATGTTCACAGCTTGTGCGTAATCTGGTGGATAATTTGTGCATGATTGGCTGATAGTTTGAGTAAGTTCACATGGTTAGATGCTGGTTTCCAATTCGTTGGACATGTTTAGCCTCCCTTATGAATTTCTTTTTAAGGATTTTATCCATCGATCAAATAAGATTTTTATGAATTTAGTTACACAAAATGTCACAAATGCGTTGAAATAGAGAGTGTATGAGCCCGGGTACAGAAAAATAGAACTTCACTGGGACAGTGAACCTCACTCAAACTTTTCATGCTCTATTTCGGCCACCAATCAAGCATCAGCTCTAATACCATCGGTTGAGTTGCGGAACAGAAATCCAATACCTTCATATGAGGAGGTCATCAAGAGATAGTACAAATCGGAGCCAATGAACTTACTCAGTTGTAGATAGGGGTGAGCGGTTCCCGGTCCGGTCCGGTCCAACCCAAGAACCGAGAATTGGACCGGGAGGACCGGTTCCCAATTTCTAGGACATGGGACTGGACTGGCTAGTCTTGGGACCATGGACCGGACCGGACCGGACCAATGGTCCGGTCCAGTTCCAGTGGGACCAATATTAAATATTATTTGTGAACCGGGAACCGATTACTCCGTTCTTTCCTTTGTAGTTTTGATTTGATCCCATAAGGCCATGGAAAAAATTGGAAAAATATATATCATATATGAAAAAATTGAACAATCGGTTCCAATGGGACCAATATTAAATATTATATATGTGAAAAAATTAGAAAAATATATATTTATCGGTCCGATTCCCACCCCAGAACCGGGAACCGGACCACCCGGAAACCGGTTCCACTTTTAGGAACCGGGAACCGGATCGATATTCCCGAAAACCGGACCAAACCGGTTGGTCCGGTCCGGTCCTGGTTTGGGCGGTCCATCTTGCTCACCCCTAGTTGTAGAGGTGCACTTACTTATTTGTAGAGGTGTCAACAGTTCGGGTTTCCAAGAAAACCGTGAACAGTTAGGATGAGTGCTTGAACCGAGCCAAATTGCGACCCGAACTGAGAACTGATTCGGTTCAATTCAGGTTTTCAATTTACCTCTTCTTCTTTTTTTGGCCTCTTCTCACAAGGTAAAGTTTAGTAAAGCAATCGTGGGTTTGTCATTTCTGTGGCATGCTGTCGTAGATTATAGGAGTAATTCTCCCATTAACAATGTTTTTCAGCTTGACAAGAGATAGACATGTCCAAAAGCATGCAATTGTTGGTTTAATGCAAACCATTTTTTTTTTAAGTTTAAGTAAAACAAAATACGAACTAGAGACTAAACATATCTCGTGAATAAACATAAGGTTTCTTCACTAAGCTTTTCATGTCTAAAATGGAAATAACATAAGTATCAACAGTTTTGTCAGATAAGAGTACAGTTGAATTACCAAACGCAACATAAATTTGCTCACAAGGCAGAATGTGAGCAACAATAGCCCGTGACCATGACCACCGATGACTGTTGTTCTTCCCCAATCGAGCATATTGCATTTTCTTGAATGGAATGACTTGAATTCAGAATATATTTGATGGTCGAGACACAAACCCCTTCATGTTTTCTAAAGGTTTTCTAGGATCTTCCTACATATTGCGGGGGGTTTGGTTTTGATCTACGTTTTTTTAAAGATAAAAAAAAAATCTAAACCTGAACCAAATCGGTGAATTACCCAAAATCGTTTACCTGTTACTCTAATTGAATGAGACCCGAAATTTTTGGTTCGATTAGGTTTCGATTTGGTTTTTGGCTCCTATATTCAGTTGGACTTACCTTCACTCAGAAACTTAAATCGATGAGTCGTTACAGACCAACGGAGATCTATTAACATTCAACAACACCAAATTTCTGATTTAAGAAGTTTTCTAACACAACTCACGTGTATATCTCGAGATTTTCTTTGGCTCTTCCACTTTTGCGTGATGGGACATGGCTACATATGGGCCACTCCTCCTTATCGATCATTGACCGAGAAAGTTGTGAATATACCTTTCCGTGGGCCACACAAAGGCCTGAGCTTAGGAAGCTTCCAAACTTACATCATTTCATGAAAAGTTACGTTCATACTTGTGGAACGTGTTTTATTCTGATGGTCAAATATGCACAAGAGAGGGAGAGAATCAAATCAACGAAGCCCATAATGGTGAATGTTGTTATCTTTAAATAGTGGTTTATAGATAGACATTGGCTCTCTCTTTCCGCGTGGAACTTTAGTTTTGGAGCAAAAGGACAAGCACGCGTGTGCGATCGCACAGATCCATTCAAACCTTTCAACAGTGGACCGTTTTCTAGGATCATGCACATATGATCAGGAAAGGGTCAGAGCTGAATGATTTCGTCCATTTGCACTGTTCTTGATCCGACCTGCCTTTGGACTGGACTAAGGACAAATCTGGGTAACAGTATGTAAATGAATGGAAAGGCATATGAATGCGAGGACGAATTTCTTTTTCTCTTCTCTTGTCCTTTTTGCGCGTGTAAGAAGTGAGTTCATTTTCTATTTCCATTCCTTTATCTGAGATGAGAGAGAGAGAGAGAGAGATTGCACGCGTAAGAAGTGGTTCAATTCCTACTTCCATTCCTTTATCTAAGATCAGCGAGAGAGAGATTGCACGTGTAAGAAGTGAGTGCAATTTCCATTTCCATTCCTTTATCGAAGGGGGGGCCGCGCGGGGGGAGGGAAGGGCTGGGTATATGAACATGAAACTAAGTTCACATCTCCGATCTGGTCAGAGGTAAGTGATCCACGACAGAGATTAGGGAATTCACAAAAAAATCACTTTCTTGTGACCAAGTAAGAAATTATGCTTTCTAGAGTTAAACACAGTCGCACATAATACTCCTCTACTATATGAGGCGAATATATGAACCTTTAGTTCGACCAATTTAAATGAATGAACCCACAATCTGTATCCATGCACATTTTGTGAAGCTTCAACTATAAAATATCGAGCGTCACTCTTTAGGTTATTATAAATTCATTGAGTTAATAGATATGGTGCGATATTCCAATATGTAGTGTGTCGCATTCCAGTAATCTAAAGGATGAATTGACAAAACTCGAATAATTAAAGAAAAGTTGTGCTCGATCAAACTTTTTCATCTCTTTCGAGAATTTCCCCATAATACCGGGGTCAAAAGGCCAAATAATTGAAAGATTGAGAGGATTTTCTGGAGGAAAACACTAGATGGGAGCCATGTCACCTTAATTAGAGGGAGGAGGAAGAAGCTGCAATGGACAAAACAAGTGTAAAGACAAGATAGAACTCAAGATTCCCAAGTTGCAGATTTGACAACCAATAAAGATGTTGAGGATCGTTCGGATGACCTCGTCAAAAAACCGGATTCTAGATTCAAGGGAGAGGAATCGCTTTTAAAGGCATGGCACATGGCCCTGCTTCTCGATCATTTCTATATATCAATAAAGCATCGTGTGGGTTGTCTATTGTTCCTTCAGAAAGAGCACTAGTCCATTGTTGATTGTCCTCTTCATGTCTACACTAGTGTATGTCCTTTCCCCCAATTTTACAATATAGACCTAAATCCCAAGATAAAACGAAATGGCGGGTAAAGGGATTTATAGAACAAAGGTCGGTGAGGCACGTATCGGCCCTACCTCGTCGCCATCAATGAGCAAGTCATTATTGAAGTAGACAGGCATGTGTCACAATCGTGTGAGCGAGACGGTAGATGAGTGCGCTGTGATAGACGGCGGATCTGCGTCATTATGTATATTCAATGTAGATGGTGTCCTTGGCATTTCAATCAACAAAATTATCTAAAGTAACAATTCAAATTAAATCTCAAAATCGGCAAAAGAAAAACACTCAAATACGGGAAAATTGTCTAAAAAATCCTAAATATATTATACGGAATCTAATTCAGTCATAAACATTTCAATTGTGCCAATTTAGTCTTAAATCTTTTAACGATTTGCCAATTCAATCCTAAATATTTCAATTGTACTATTTTAGTCCTAAACCTTTTGACGGTTTGCCAATTCAATCTTAAACCATTTGATGATTTGCCAATGTAGTCATTTCGGCTAAATATCCAAATAATAAGTTTAGAACTAAATTGGCAAATCTTCAAAAGGTACAAGACTAAATGGACACAAAGAAATGTTTAGGACTGAATTAACAAATTATCAAAAGGTTTAGGACTAAATTGGCACAATTGAAAGGTTTATGATTGAATTGGCTGTCGTATAACAGGTTTATCACTTTTTGGACAATTATCCCATCAAAAACTATGGGAGACGGCAGGTCTGCGTCCCTAAAACGCTAAACCCATCGAGACTAAGCACAAATCTCTTAGTCAACATGAGGAAACTACAAACATTGGCGTGAGATTGTTCGCAAGAAAATAAAGTGTTTAACCACCTAATTTTCTCACGCCATCATGCATGCAGACTTAAATTTAAGTCATCGCTGCTTCTTGAACTCGCCTGTGATTTGTTCGCACAAAAAAAGGGATTAAAGCTCTAATCACATCCTTCGAACGTGCTTAACCTCCAATCACATCTCCTAATCAAAATCAAAGCAATCCCCACAAGAAACGGCCATAAACGTGGTGGGGTCTCCAAACAATCCACAAGCAAAAATATCAAATTGCATTTTTCTGTCCTAGAAGTAAATTTTTCTTGGATTCCAATAGGCATCCACTGCTTGCGGTCCATCATCGTACAGTCATCGTCAATTTGTTTACAATTTAACCTCCGATACAAGAATTCATCGAAGTCGGCAGCTTCTAGAGAGAACAAGCAGTCTAAAGTATGGCGAACCAATGGTCTTATTTACGTGCTTTTGGTAAGCCTCTACGATGCTATATGTCTCCTACTTCTTAATTTTTATATGTTGTTTCTTGTTCCAACGCAGTGTAGAAAATGAAATGGTATACGTGAATCGTGTGTACCAGTGTGAGGTGGTGATGACCAATCACACGAACTCTCGAGTCAAATGGGCATTTAGGTTGTGGAAGAACGGCGTTCTCTTCAATGTGATCGCATCCATGACCGAGAGGAAGTCCGTGACATAGCTTATATTAGGAGGATGAATCCACAGTATCCGTGGATCAATTCACCATGTGCTTCCGACAGTTATAGTGCTAAGCATATAGTGAAAGACGTTTGGAAATGTTATGCTTCGAGTTCAAATCCTAATCAGTATAACCCCCAAGCCCGATTCACACCCGTTCCGATGTGACTGTATTTTGGCCAAATCAGGAAAGGCGGACTTACTCTGGTAAGTCGAAGCTAACCCGGCGTATAGCCTAACCGCAAGACGAAAGAATTACAGACGCCGTGGTGTTTCATCCCCATTCAACGCAGCGTTTGTTCCCCAAATGTTTCCCTAACCTTTGTGGCAATTTACAATCTATAAATGTGTGCATTTGAATGGACCAAACTGTTCATGTGTCATGCGAACACTAGGCACGCTAGAAATAGGAAATCCTCCGGGGGGAACAAAACATACAACTGCAACAAAACCGTAGTTTGTAACTACGAAACGAACACTACAAAGCAAAGATCGAGATGGTTCGGTCTCTTGATCCTTCCCCAAACTGGTTTCTTCCTTCAATTCTTGGAACATCAGAGCTCAGGTTCGCGTTTCAAGTGTTAGAATTGACTTTTGTTCCGACCTTTTTGTTCGTCTAGGTTGTTGCTCACCCCTCCTCTAAAGGGTCAAGACAAAGCAAGCAGCACACATGAATTGACGATTCTAGAGAATGTAAAATAAACAATTCCAGCACAAACCAATATTTACCAGGTATTGCCACGTCACGTGAACGAATTTTTAAGGGAAGAAATAAAAAAAAATTAAATATTCTCCTTCTTTTCCAAAATGAGTCACGCATTTGTTTAAAGTGATAGCAACCGCGGGGGCCATCTAGGAAGACCTGGTGGATCGCTATTGAGCCTATTGTCACGGGTATATCATATACAAACTTTGGTGTCACTTACAGCTCTTGCTGTATCGAACTTAAAATAGCCAAATGTGCACATTATTTTCAACCTACTTTTGCGTGTATGTGTGACCTTTTGGGAAAAGTGCCAAAAAAGTCCTAAACCTTTTGCATTAGTGCCAATTTAGTCCTAAACCTTTTTTTGGTGCCAATTCAGTCCTAAACCTTTTGCATTGGTGCCAATTTAGTCCTAAACCTTTTTTTGGTGTCAATTAAGTCCTAAACCTTTTAAATTGGTGTCAATTCAGTCCTAAACCTTTTGTTTTTGTGCCAATTTAGTCCTTCCGGCCAATTTAGACCGGAATTTGCCTACGTGGACGCCTGCCGGCCGGCGGCCGGTCACCGGCGCCGACGTGGCGCCGACGTGGACAACTTTAATATTTTTTTGAATTTTTATTTTTTTCCTTTTTTTTTCTTTTTTTTTCCACTTTTTTTTTTGGTTGTCTTCCGCCTTACTCTGGCCGGTCGCCGGTCCGGCGACCGGCCAGAGGCCAGAGGCCGGCGAGGGCGACCCTCGCCTTGGTCGGGCGAGGCTCGAGCCCTCGCCGGAGGCCGCGGCGAGGGCAAGCCTCGCCATGGTCGGGCGAGGCCCGACCTCGCCGGATCGGCGAACGCTCGACCTCGCGAGATCCGGCGAGGTCGGGCCTCGCCCGACCATGGCGAGGCTCGCCCTCGCCCGCGGCCTCCGGCGAGGGCTCGAGCCTTGCCTTGGTCGGGCGAGGCTCGCCCTCGCCGCGGCCTCCGGCGAGGTCGGGCCTCGCCATGGTCGGGCGAGGCTCGCCCTCGCCGCAGCCTCTCCGGCGAGGGCTCGAGCCTCGCCATGGTCGGGCGAGGCCCGACCTCGCCGGATCCGGCAAGGTCGGGCCTCGCCGCGGCGGCCGGGCGAGGCTCGACCTTGCCGGATCCGGCGAGGTCGAGCCTCGCCCGACCCATGGCGAGGCTCGGCCTCGCCGGCGAGGCCGCCCTCCCAGTGGCCGGCGAGGTCGAGCTCGCCGGCCATCTGCTCTGGCCGAGTCGCCGGACCGGCGACCGGCCGATGAAGAAGAAACCAAAAAAAAAAAGTGGAAAAAAAAATAAAAAAAAGGAAAAAAATAAAAATTCAAAAAATTATTAAAATATTATTTAATTTGTCCACGTCAGCGCCACGTCGGCGCCGGTGACCGGCCGGCATGAGTCCACGTCAGCAAATTCCGGTCAAAATTGACCGGAAGGACTAAATTGGCACAAAAATAAAAGGTTTAGGACTGAATTGGCACCAATTTAAAAGGTTTAGGACTTAATTGGCACCAAAAAAAGGTTTAGGACTAAATTGGCACCAATGCAAAAGGTTTAGGACTGAATTGGCACCAAAAAAAGGTTTAGGACTAAATTGGCACTAATGCAAAAGGTTTAGGACTTTTTTGGCACTTTTCTCGTGACCTTTTGTTAGCAGCAATTCACGCTCGAAGGATAATAAAGTGTGCATGTACAATCTTTTTCAAATCCATTATGAACTTGCAAAGTCTTTTGCATAAAGAGAATTGGAGGAAACCCCTCGGGTTAGCTCAATTGATTAGAACATTAGGAGATTTTCAACTCGAGAATTGGAAGTCATTCTTTCTAATAACACGAATTGCATGCGAAGCGTTCTAGGTTAAGATAAGCTGCACAAGCCAACTGCCCAAGCTCAGTCGATTTCTAGGGTTCATTGGGTGTTTATGAGCCTCCAACCAGTTAGGTTTCGCGATCGCGTCTCGAGATTTCAAGGAAAATAGGATTGGGAAGGAAGTTTGTTTTGTCCCTAGCAAAAGAAAAAGAACGGGGAGTTTTTGTTTTTTTAGGGATGGACCAATGCAAGTTTCTAAAATATAGATCTAAAAATGCCAATTTCATAGTCTTAGTGGTGCTTATGAAAATATTTCTTTATTTCAACAATTACCACTAATCCCATATATAGACATACACGCACAAATATCCAAGCAGCGCTTATGAGTGCCATTCCCAATCATCTTTCAGTCGATATGCTGTTCAAGTAACAAGTAACATTACCAAAATTCTTATCTTTACAAAAAGATGACAAAAGAAATAGAGAAAAAAAAAGGGCAGAAAAAAGGAAAATAATTGGAAAATGATACTTAGCCCACGATTCAGAATCGCTATAGCGCAGCAACTTGGACCAGCCGTGGGAGGAGGAGAGATGCAAGCCCTCAAGGAATCTGAATTGCTCCAATGAAACGTTTACCAATAGCCACCAAGAGCTCATCTAATGGTCCATATTCCAAAACCATCAAGATAAAACCCCCCCAATCTCCATTGGTTCGTGCGACACCACGTTCAATAATTTCTCCTACCAAATTACCAATCTGACCCTCCACATACCCACCTTCCTCCTCTGTGACCACCTCCCTCCGCCTATTTATACGACCCCCCACCTCCATACACCACCACCACCACCACCACTACCACCGTTAACAGAGAGAGAGAGAGAGAGAGAGAGAGAGAGAGAGAGAGATGGGTTCCCTTCCTCACGTAGTGGAAGATTGCTTGGGCGTCCTCCAAGTCTTCAGCGACGGCTCCATCTACCGGGCCGACGAGATCGACTTCAGGAACATCTTCGTCATCGAAAACAAGTCCATTGTCCTCAAGGACTACCTCTATGACAAAGAGCACAGCCTCTCCCTCCGCCTCTACAGACCCACCTCGCCCCCACCATCGGGTAAGCTCCCCGTCGTCTACTACCTCCACGGCGGCGGCTTCTGCGTGGGGTCGCGCCTGTGGCCCAACTGCCACAACTGCTGCACCCGCCTTGCCTCCGGCCTCGGGGCCCTGGTGATCTCCCCGGACTACCGCCTCGCGCCAGAGCACCGGCTCCCGGCAGCTGTGGACGACGCGCACGGCGCATTGGAGTGGCTCCAAAGCAAGGCCAAGAGCGAGGACGTCGATGGGTGGTTAGATCTCAAGGCGGTGGACTTTGGCCGGGTTTACATACTAGGGGACTCGTCCGGGGGGAACATCGCGCACCACCTGGCGGTCAATCTAGGGTTCGGCTCGCCGAAGTTGGCCCCGGTCCAGGTGCAGGGCTACGTGCTGCTCGCGCCGTTCTTCGGCGGGGTCACCAGGACCGAGTCGGAAGAGGGACCATGCGAAGGCTTGCTAAATCTAGAGATACTTGACAGGTAATATATTGAAACCCACCATATATCTTAGTTAAGCATATCCAATTTCTTATCATACACGCATGGATACATGTAGACTTTCATTTAGTGATCATTCATCACAAAGACCTTTTCTTCCCCTCCACTCGATCTCATTAAGCTTTGCCAACCACTAAAAATAACACTATAATCACATTCATGAGAACTTGCAAATTAGATCCGGATGTCAATATTATAACCTTATTTTGTTGTATAGCATAGATTCAGCCAATTACAAGAAGAGGGAGTAATTAAACTTGTGACTAATGTTTGCCCAAACAATTTCAACACCATGGAATCTTGGAAAATGATGGGAAAGAGTTTATTCGGGGCGCATAAAATTTTCCTCCTTGGTGACATTATGCACCATATTTCTCTATCGAAGCACATCATTTTCACATAAAAAAGATTGAAAGTGGCTTGGCCTCAGGATCCGTACACAAGGGGCGGTTCCCACTTGGGGGGGATGTGACCCCCTCTTGTGAAAATACCCAATAATCATCAGAAGAATTTTCGAAGAATCTGCCGGTCCACACTATTTTCCGACCTCTAGTCCCATCGCTTTCTAGTCCAATTCACGAAAATAGACCGGCGCCTCATGAGTAGCTTCAAAAGTTTATTCTGTCTCCGCCTATCACGCAATTTCTCCCCCACGACAAATACCAATTATTCATTCCAATAGACATGGTACTGAAGAAGGAAAAGAAAGTTCACGAGCATGTATTGTCGGAGATTAGTGCAGTTAATGTGGACCGACTTCCATCTACTACCTAAATAATTCTTGGATTATATTGCGTGTCTTGCCGAGAAATTTCGCTTGTATGAAGAGAAACATGTCAACCCACTTTTGACATGTTGGTGCCTTTGTTCATGAATCTCATTAGTCACGTGAGACAGCCTTCTCGTGTTATTATCCATAACACTATTGCAAGAAAGGGAGATTAGGACTAATTTCGTGTCACCGGATTTTGCGGTTGCTTTTCTAAATTAATTGTACAAGATTTCTTGGCATATTGTCAACCTCGTCCATCCATTCAGATGGTGCTATTTTTCCAGTGAATGAGAGTCATTAAGAGCTGTCTTTAATTAACTTTCATTGACTTTATTAAAGAGTACCAACCAGCATATATAGAATTATAGTTTATATACTCGTCAGTGCAGAAAAAATAAATTGAATTATATAAGCAATTTGCGAGGTCTAACTTTTGTTTTGGGGCCAGTTTGTGAGGTGTTCCGACTATTCTTTGACATCTGTACCTGATTAATTGTAAGACATTAAGATAATTAATATTGATGTATATCCGAAGAAAGGGTGAAAATCCATTTTGAGTTGTCCTGGTGGAGTGTTTGAGACACGTCATACTCATCTTAATCTAGCTTCTGTCATCAATCACCAACTTATAATCCAACTTTTTAAGATATGGTAGGCCCTTGATTGTTATAATAATAATAATAATAATAATAATAATAATAATAAGATAGTGAAAATCCTGGCTTTGTGATTTTCCTAGCAACATCATGGTTTTTTTGGTTCCCTCTAGGAATTATAATAGCACTTTACGTGGACCATTTTGTGAAAATGACGCTTGGGAAAGGTTACGACGCAACCTTGATCAATCAAAGCGAAGCAAAGCAAAGCAATATTAGGGTTAGTGCTCGGTCCAATACCGCCATTGGATCTTTACTTGCCTTATCAGCTCCCTAAAATATACTAATTAAGCTAAGTGCCTTATCCACTATCTTACCATGAAAGTCCATCCGGCTTGAGATGTATGTCCCGTGATGGAAACTCTTTCTTTTCGGTGCCTCATTTTCAATGCGATTGACTCGAGCGAAATTAACTATAGGAGCACGCCGAATCACCAACGAGAACCAGACATCCATCCACCACCAGCTCCCTCGACATGTGGAGGATTTGAGCCCCCCTTTTTGTGAAGATAATCTCATGATAATCATCATTTCATTGACATTGGACCGGTCGCGTGACATGACAAATGCACGCACGCCCGCTTCCTCCATCCCCACGACCCAAATACATCATGCATACACTAGATTCACGATCGAATGTACTAATTTAACTTGTCGCGTATTGGTCATTGGAAGCGACATATGACATGCTTGTGCGTGTGCATCGATTGGCTCAACAGATTTTGGAGGCTATCGGTGCCAAGTGGAGGAGATAGAGACCACCCATTGGCCAACCCGTTTGGACCATCAAGCGCTAGCCTTGAGGCAGTGGCGCTCGACCCCATCTTGGTGATAGTTGGTGGGAATGAGATGTTGAAAGATAGAGTGCAAGACTATGCAGCGAGGCTCAAAGGGATGGGGAAGAATGTTAAGTATGTGGAGTACGGGGGAAGGCAGCATGGGTTCTTCACGAACGATGCGTACTCGGATGTTGGGAATCAAGTCATACAGGACATTAAGAAGTTCATGCTCGAGAGCTCCGACTAATCAAAATTAGGAGAGGATCGTCAACGTTGTTCATTTTGAGATTTGCAAAGAAAGTGCGTGCAATACTGGGTAGAGGGTGTGGTCTGTAATCAAGTTATTTAGCCTCTATGTAGGAGGGTTTTCCCTTTCTCTTTTCACTTGTCTCTTAGCAAGTTTTCTTGCGGTTTGTACAATAGTATAGATGATGGGTTATGATAAAGTTGGCAACGAAAGGATCTCACAAATGTAATGCTGGTTATTCGATACCAATAAAACGGAAAAGGAAAGGTTTGCGATGCAAAGTTATATTCGTAATCGGCGTCATTTAGATAAATTTTTACTTTTTGGCTTTTGTTTAATCTAAATTCAGTGATAGACACATTTTAATTTCTTTTTTTAACCCAAAAAACTTGAAACTTTCATAATATCTAAACCTTGACATATATGGTACGTTTTTTTTTTTTGATAACCGAGGTGTCCGCGCTGCCGGCGAGCTAGGGCTCAAACCAGCGGTGATGCCCGACTAGTCCTCGAGGGGGGTTAGCGCAGCATCCCATCGCCACGGCCCCCCACTTAAATCACCGATAGGCGAGTTTGAACCCAGGACCTCTCGTGAAAGGAACTGAGCGCAAACCAACGCGGCCACCGATGGGTGGGTGACATATATGGTACGTTTGTTTCTCGGAAACTTAAGATTTTTCATTTTCTGAAAAATGAATAATTATATCGCTTAGAAAAATTAGTCAACGGAAAATGTTTTCATTATCAACAACAATTCATTCCTAATTATTTTTGTGAATGATGAAAATATTTTGAATTCATTCATTTTTGTAAGTGATGCAGGTAATCAATTTTTTGGAAAATGTTTTCCAAATCTTGAGTTTTCCATGAAACAAACGCATCCATAGATTCACATATAATTTTTCATAATTTTATTAGTAGATATTTCTTTCTACGTTGAAAGAGAGGATGTAGGAATGGACGACAAAGTTCTATTCTCTCCCTATACTCCTTCATATTTAGTTATTGTCCATTCATTGTTTTTTTTGCTAATAGAAAGTTTCTAATAGGTATTAGAGCAAATGCCACAAAAATTTAATCTATGTCCACTGTGACACATTTATCCTAAACTTTTATCCGTTATCACAAAAAATCTCAAACTTGTACCTGTGTGACACATTTACCCTCCGTAAAAAATCTGTCAATGACAACCGTTAAAAATCTACCTACATGAACATCAAAAAGCAAACAATGTTGATGGAAGGTAAATATGTCACATAGGTACATGTTTGGGGTTTTTTATATCACTAGAAAAAGTTTAGGGTAAATATGTCACTGTGGTCATAATTTAGGGTTTTGATGTCACAAAAAAAAGTTCAGGGTAAATGTCTCACGGTAGACATAATCTGGGATTTTTTGTGACTTTTTCCCTAAATATTATTATACTTGTTAGCAACACCAATTCACCCATCTCTTCTTAGTTTTCTTATATCCGGGCTGTTCAGAAGTGAGAGAGAAAATTCTTAAATTACTAGTATATCCTTTTTAGCCAAATGCATAATAAATAATTAAGCCTTAAAAAATAAGAGCAATTAATGGAATTTCATGGGAAAATCTCATAAAACGAAAACTTCTTGGAATCCTTTCGATAGATGGAACATCACTTTGGTGTTGTAGACTATGTTATCCACGTTATATAATTTTTTTTCTAGGTCCAAAGTCTGTGTTTTGCTCCATATAAACCTGACCGAATCGAACCAAACATACTCATCGACACAGCCCTTAGTGAATATGACACAGGCAATAATCAATACGCCATGATCATCTAATTATTATAAATAACTGCTAGTACTTACCAACAAAAAGCTTAAAGGGAAGCCCTCGTCAGGCACAATGGAGATTGACAAATCGTGTCCTAATTTCACTAGGTCCTTCCAAGGATTGATGACCAAGTATTAATATTGTCTAATTGATTAGAACATTGAAACGGTGAAAAGAATCTCTTATATTAATTGGCATAATTGCAATACCAATCCATGCTCGGCGAGATTGAGTCCATCGTGTCAGCAAAAATATAAAAAAGAAACTGTGATCACCGTCGCTATTGTACTTACGTAGGGCGGCTATCCAACATGCGTTCTTATATATTATAGCATGTGTTATAATGTTCTGATCTTTAGAAAAAGAGAGGAGAGAAACCGCAATGCGTGTGAACAAAAATAGTGAAATGTCTGTAAGTTGGTAAAGAATATAAATTAATGTAAACCAATTATTTGTATCTTCGATTCAATATTATATGTGAAGCATGAACCCATTTTTCGAAATATAACCTAAATTGTTACAACACCGAGAGGATGAGATATCCCGAAATGGGGGATTCATAGATTAATTAATTTATAATCATAGAATATGATATGGAGTCCGTCTAGGGTTATATCAATGTAGGTAATAGTTTATTTTTAGGTAAAACGACACAAATGGTCTCTAAATTTTGACCCAATGTGTAATGTGATCCATGAACATTTAATTTGTTCAATGTAATACCTAAACTTTAAACCAATGTGTAATGTGGTCCTTATACTTTTAATTTGTTCAATTTTATATCCAAATTATATGAAAATGTTCGATATTGTCCATTATCTTAAATTAATTGAAGAATTACATTGAATGTACCAAAAGTTCATGAATCATATTGAACATATAAAAATTCATGAAATACATTGAATATTAGGTTAAAGTTCAAGATCATATTATATATTGGGTCAAAGTTTATAGACCATTTGTGTCATTATCGCTTATTTTAAAATGTAAGTATTGAGTTTTCGTGAAATTTTTTGGTAAATTTTGAGATAGAAGTTGTTAATGGATTTGTTTCCCTAGTAGTATGGGAAAAGAAAAGAAAGAAAATACTTGGGTTAAAGTGCATGATGATAGTAATTGCTAGCTAAACTATTCTTTCACTGACCAACCAACCAATGTATGACATGTCTTCCGATTCCTTCTTTATATTTCAGAAAGAAAAACAAAAGTCAACCCGATAGCTAGTTAGGGAGGAAGTCGGGCTTTGATGATATCAAAAACCAAGATTCGGCAAAATCTATTTGCCCTTTTTGGGAGGATCTCTTGGGCCCAGAATCATCATGCTGCCATGATCATCCCTGATCAATTTGACATTTTATATTGAATCCTCGTGGAATCCTCCCTTCTTTTTGCATCAAATATATACAAATCATAAACAGCAAAAGCCAAAGCCGCCAGAAAAGCAACCTTGTGTTTGCAAACACGTGTCCCCGATTGGCTTCTTGGGTTACAATCTCTCTTTAATCACGTGTCGATCGTTGAAAAATGGAAGTCTCTTGGTAAACACCTACGTTGTGATTAATGTTTTGATTGTCTTTGTCGGATGATCTTTCGGTAGCTTGACAAATGTGCATGGCGGTAAGGGGGGTTCTACCAGTACCGGTTGCATCGGCATGCGTCTTTGTCGTCCCAAGTCATGCAGAAAACGAAGCCTGATCTGTCTTCCTGCAGTGTAGCTTTGGGTCGTCCGTGTGCTGATGGCTGATGGTGAGAGAAAATCTGATGGGACGATTCATGGTGACATGATATAAGACGATGAGATCCCTAGATATGCGTTGCTTACTTAAATTTGGTCCTTCCATTAAGTATCTGATTTGCATTAACGATATGGCAATCCACATTAATTTGTGCCATGTTGGGTGCTGACCTAGCTAATTGAGAGAGAGAGAGAGAGAGGAGGGGTAACAAAGGCTGCTGGGGGGTAGTGACAGCACCCAACCACTGGCAAAGGCCCAATGACCCTCGCCGGTGATCAGGCACTCGTTGCCGTCGCTTCTGATCCCCCCAATACACACATGCACGCATGCGTGGAGAGAGAGAGAGAGAGAGAGAGAGAGAGAGAGAGAGAGAGAGAGAGAGAGAGAGAGAGAGAGAGAGAGAGAGAGAGAGAGAGGGGTTGTGACCCTGGCTATCGTATGTGGGCACCTTCCCTAGGCCTTACATGCGCACAGATCTGTGCAAGGGTTGCACTCGCACAGCCCTTGCCCCATATTTGCACCCAAGGTCGATTTGAAGCGAGGTTAATTTGCATGTCACAATTGTCATTCAACAAGCGGCAAGTTCAACAAGGGGCACGACCACGTCACTTGTTGATCTGCCAATCATGTATCACTTATAAAGAAGAAATACTCTCGGTAAACATTTGTAGATAGCACCTCAGCTAATGCTATTGTCTTTACTGGATAATTACGTTGTTCTTTAGTATGACATATGTACAAGAGGGTAGTTGGCTTCTATGAGTACTAGCTGCATTGCATGTGTCTTTGTTTGAGTCACAAAGAAAATGAAGTCTCATCTAAATTTGGAAAGAGTAATTTAAAAGAACATCTCATTAATTCCACGTGATATAATGAATAAATATACGATCATATTACAACTATATCATGTCACAGTCATCCTTAGACTTTCCCTAGTAAGTCCAAGGAGTAAGTATGCATAAACTCATTTGGATACCTTAAGTCAATCAATACTTTCTTAAAGAAAATCACCCTTTTAGAAAAATATCGAGCTTCTAATAGGTGTTTTCTCAAATTGAAGCCACTCTAAAGTATATGATGTTGGACAAATATATTAGATAATATAAAAATAAGAATTGTGGGAAATCTATTGAAAAACATGAGAAAATAATATCAATCGTCTGAAGTATGCAAGCACTGTTCTTAAAGATAACTCCACCCCTTGGAGTACGAAACTAGGTGCGTAAGGCTTAAGCGACTATCCTCCCAAGATACAACAGACCTTCTTCTATACTCTGCACTGAATATTAGAAGGAACATGAACAATGTTATGTGTATATCCCAGCAAAGAAAGGAAAGATAAATAAAAGAAAGAACAAACAATATTCTTATTTTGATATGTGTGTGTGTATATATACATATATATATATATATATATATATATATATATATATCAATTTCCAATTATGCTCAAAGTAACAATTTATAGATACAAGAAAGAGAGCCGTTAAGCCGTTATAAAACAATTGATAATTATTAAAAAGTGACCGTTATATGGCCGTTATAAAATAATGGAGGCTTTATGAAGAATTAAATCAAACATTACAAAGCCGTTATAAGACCATTGCAAAACCGTCACAAAATGATAACTTTATGGCAATAATAAATTATAATAAATATTTCAAAATTGCTGAAATATCTAACATACGATGGCCAAAGTAAGAGCTGAAAGGAGGGGCATGGATCTGATGGGCCATGAGACCTTT